TTTTGACTGAAGAACTGTAATACAGTTGCTTTAGTTAGAATCAATGTATAATTTATACAGTGAAGTGTATATAGTGTTTAATGTTTACTTTTGTTCATTCAATTTCTTGAATGCCACTGCTAAATACACCTACTGTACCTGAAAAACAAAGTACTGTTTGTTTTATTTGTATATTATGTGTATTTGTAATGTGTATCTTTGGTCTTATTTTTTAATAACAAAGATAAAATAATGACAAAGATTTTTATCTTCGCCCACTTTGGCCTAAATGTCTGCCATTCTTTTTTATTTTATATTTTGTTACCTTATAAAGCTTTATTTTTAAAATAGGGAAATTAGTTTGGCTGTACTGCTCAGACAACTTGCAAAATAGTAAAACTAACATAACAAATAATCGTGATAAAATTGTGAATTTCCTGAAATAAATCTTGATATATTTTTGCCATATCGCCGACCCCCAATTCATCATTTTGAGCCATGCGTAGCATCATGCATACACACATGCACAACACAGTTTCCATGGCAACCGGACATGTACTATGGCAGTACTCCAGATCCACTTTGAGCTACTCAGACTCAAGGAATTGAAACGCTCCGAATCAAACAAGACTGTGTGCCTTCAGCCCTTAATCTCAGTAAGGTACACACTGAACCCGCCACAACGACTATTTTGAAAGTGTTTCTAGGTTGGCAGCATTCCTTTGTTTGCTATCATCACTCACATCACAGTGAAATTCACCTACATTTTCAACTACACTGGAAAAATAAACATATCGGATGAAGCTATTTCATACTTCAAGGAAGTTCCATTCAAAAAAATAAACAGGAAGTTCTCAGAATATAAATGGCATGTCTATTTTTTGGTTGCTGGGAAGACTGAGATCTTATTTACAAGTGGGTTGTTTTTGCCCAGACAGCATGACGTTCTGAAAGGTCTGTTGGAGTAAGTACAAATACAGGTCTTCATCAGAGAGAGACTGAGAGGATTTTAGAGGTTTGCAATGCATTCAATGGGATCTCGTCTATAAGAGACCTGGAGCATGAACATATGTGGACCAGATGCCTCTGCTTCTGTCTGGAAAATGCTGTATGCATGCTGCAAGAGGAGGAGGGATCCAGCCACAAATACACTACAGAGCACTGGAGCCAAAAGTGGTTCCCTCGCTCGTACACATTCTTTCCCTCTCATTCCTCCGCTGTCTCTTATTCTTTCCACTTCCCTTCCAACAGAACAAAGCTTGCTGTTAACCTTTGACCTACTGTTGATGTATGCACTCTCCGTTATCAGTTGCTCTAGAACTACAGACAAACTGTGTAGTAGATATTACTCATGTTGGTGGGCAAGCAGTTGGTTAATTTTTTTTGCACAATTATTACAATATGTATTATATTTTACAATAAAATTAGTAATTTACAGAGGAATCATAGAAAATCAAACATACTGTCATGGCCGAGAGCAAAACAACTGCCAGGTAAAGACATAAGGGAAACATTTTTTATAATAATAATAATAACAATAATAGAAAATAAAACAGAATAAGATAATCAGACTAATTTCAGGTTCATTCTTAGGAGAGGTTTCAGACATCAAAAATGTCTGTCTGAATGTTTTTGGTTGTAATGGTGGTGCTTTAAAAGTGATAAAAAAAACATTAAAAAAAGCAAAACTAGTTTGTTGAAACTTCCCTACTGTGTAGTTGCATTATAACTGCATCGCCATCCAATAAGCTACATAAAAGCGTACAGGGACTTCTTACTACAATTGACTTGTTTACCACTTATGTTACTGACAGCTTTATCCAGAGTACAGCAGCTTGAACCAGTCAGGGAAAGCCACAGGTTTAACACAGCAGAGCTGGATTATCAGGTTCTACAGAAAATGCAGGGGGCTGTAATTGAGTTTCCTGGCATGGAACCACTCAACTGCATCACATTAGCGATTGAGTAAAATCTGTCAGTGAGCAAATACAATCACATCAGGCTTCTGTGTTTAGGTGAACGAACAATCACCCTTGCCAGACACTAGCCAAACCATCAGACTCCTCTATTGTTTTGTATTTTTCCATTGATTGCATATCAGCATGCATGGTATGCATGAGCACTAATACAAAAATTATCATCTCAGCGTCCTCTGAGACTTGAAGGCTTTAATTAGCAAACTCAATTGTGCTAAATGAACGGGGGATGAGAGACATTTGCTCTCTGAAGCACCATTTCTGAGAAACTGATTTAAAGGAGGGTTGTGGTGGTCCAAATGCCAAAAATGTTATTGGGTCAGTGTGATGTTTTCCAAAGAACCACCTCTGGAAACAGTGACAGCCAAGCAGTACTACCCACAAACCAACCAAACCATTTTTAAGTTGTCACTTCTATATTACTATATTGGTATATGACAACACAACTGGGTTGATAGTGGGCCTCACCATCTGTGTTTTTCCACTTCAAATGAATGACTATTTAAAGGAACACTCCACTATTTTTGAAAATAGGCTCATTTTCCAACTCCCCTATTGTTAAACAGTTGAGTTTTACCGTTTTCGAATCCATTCAGCCGATCTCCGGGTCTGGCGGTAGCACTTTTAGCTGTAGCTTAGCATAGATCATTGAACCTGAAAATAGTCCCCAGCACACTCCCTGTGCAAGCAGGTGGTCACGTTGGTTATGTTGATGGAAGTTAGCCTATTTTCAGGCGCTGCGTAATATCATTGCGCCTGCTGCACCCATGGTACAGCAGCAAAGTTCCTTGATTATTATGCCGGAATTAGAGTATAGTTCCTAGCCTATCGGCCTAGAAAAATCGCAACTTTTCATTTTCCGTCGGTCTTAGTACACAATGTAACTACAGAAGAGTCAAGTTTTAAATAGGAAAAATATTGAAACTCTTTGGTCATTTTTGAGTGAGATGCTAACGGTCTAATCAGATTCAATTATCTATGCTAAGCTACAGCTAAAAGTGCTACCGCCAGATCAGCTGAATGGATTCGAAAACGGTAAAACTCAACTGTTTAACTCTAGGGGAGTTGGAAAATTTGCCTATTTTCAAAAATAGTGGAGTGTTCCTTTAAGCAATAAGTGTTTCCATACATGGACTTCCTCTTCACCTCAAATCAGACTCGATTTTATGTACACTACCTTTCAAAAGTTTGGGATCAGTAAGACTTTTTTTTGACAAGTGTTTTTTTCTTTTATATATTCAGTAAGATTGTTTTGAAAGAAATACAGCAAGGACACTTATAATATTACAAATATATTAAGCAGCACAACTGTTTAACACTGATAATAGTAAATGTTTCTTGAGCATCAAATCAGTGATTTAAATAGATTTCTGAAGGATCAAGTGACACTGAAGACTGGAGTAATGGCTGCTAAAAATTCAGTTTTCACAATGATTTACATTTTAAAATATACTGAAATAAAGTGTTATTTTGTATTGTAATATTATACAATAGTACTGTTTTTGTTGTATTTTTGATCAAATAAAGGTACCTTGGTGAGCATATGACACTTCTTTCAAAACCATTTTTTTTTTTTAAATCTTACAGATTCTGAACTTTTGAATGATAGTGTGTATAATTAATGCATTAAATGTGAAGGTAAAACTACAAGTAGTCTGGATAGGGTGGGGCAAGACGCCCACACTCATCTTGATCACATGTTCTAAAGCTCCAATGATCTTTTAATTCCAATAAAAAAGGCTTTCCACAGACTCCAATTGCCTTTGCAAACATTTCACCTGTAGACATTTTGATTCGTTGGAAAATAAAACATCATAATGGCATTTTTGGTGTGGCAAGACAGACGTTCAGTCCAACCTGATCCAGCAACAAAAAAGGTCTTCATTTGTTGACAGGCTGCATTCCATTCAAACTAAGCACATCTAAAACAACGCTTCTCTTATTATTACAGTTTGGCTCATGATGTAAGCAGTGGGGAAGAACGGGATGGGGTGGAGATAAGGGCGTCTGACAGTTTCTCACAGTGCAATTAAGAATCTGCCAGCATGTTCCCTCCAGCCACTTCACTGAATGAGATCTCAAGAAAAGAGGGAACAACAGCAACAACAGAACCACAGAATGAAGCTGGCTACTTTACCAAGTGGTGACGCCACAGAACCCCAAAAGAACCAAAGCTCAGAAAACCCACTGAACTCAATGCAAATGTTTGGACAGCGTCCTTCCTCGTCCATTGCAACAGAGCAGGATACACTGGCTGTGATAATCTGTATAAGTGCTCAGTTAATGCAAATGATTTGTTCAACAGGCCTCGTTATTGACTTGTTTATATTACGTATCTAATCTATTCAGATTCAGAACCTCTGTTGACTTGATCACCTCACCTTTTTCCAAAAATGTCTAACCACAAACATGGCAAAGGCAAGGTGATCAGACAGGTTGGACTATTTGAATACACTGAAAAGATGCCGAATCAGGTCTGAGTAGTTTTATTAGATGGATGAGTAATACAGAAACCTCTTCTGGAATGATGTTACTGTTTACCATTAAAACCTCCTTCACAACTAGCCAGTGGCTTTCTTTTAATTCTTATCATTTATTGTCCTATTATTTTATGACATTATATTCATGAAAATTAAGCACTATTATCATCCAAATTCTCATATCAGTAAGGCAAAAAGCAATGATATATTATTTTAATTATAAAGGTACTTAGAAATGAAGGTAGTATTTGTTGAACCTTTAATTTATGATGATTGAAAATCTATTTAGATTTTGGAAAGTCTATTTATTACAGTATTAGAATGTAATGAGAATCACATTGATATTAATGGGAATGGAAAAAAAATAAAAAGGACAAATGTCTGGATGCATTACAAATGAGAATTTAGAGGAAAATGCGCTTAATTGTCAAGAAAATCTTAATGGTCCTAAAAATAGGCTTTAAATTTGGGCATATTTCATGATTTATCCATATAGCAGTGAAGTCAATGGGTTTCTCCAAAAATATATAATAATTTGTATGTACCATGCTTTGTGTCTACTCACCACAACATGGTGGAAAAGGAGCTCCCATGAATGACTGATCTTCTGGTTGATAACCATATCAAAGAAGTCATATATAAAGTAACCTGAAACATAATAATGCATATTAACACTATATCTGTTAAACAGTGGACATGGATCATTCAACAGGTTTTTCAAGCAACAGATCCCATGACTACAATTGTGTTGGTAACCAAGATGTCATTTCCAGAGAGCTATTTATATCCATCTCCAAATATGAGGGTCTCCATGGAGACTGCATTTTAGAGCAGATCAACAGCAAATGAAGCTCAATATAGGAGACCTCATTAATATAAATGTACTGATTAGCATTTTCATTATACACACCCGTTTCCCAATTCCATTTGTTTAGCTCTCATTAAACTGATAGCAGTGTTTATTTTCTAAAACAAGCCTTAACATCTCAGAATGAATAGATATTTTACTGAAAAAAAGAAAATACTCATTAAGAAATTTATTTTTTCCTGTAAGATGAACGCATGAACTCAGTCCTTCATGTTTTGTCTATTGAGGTGCATTAGAAACAAGTTTACATCAGACTTTCAAGCAAGAACTTGAAAAGCCACAATTTTAAGAAATGCTGAGTTATAGATTGGCGGATGTACATGTCAAACCCATGTGCCTTGCAGTTAACTTTTTATGGGCATATATTATGCAGAATTAACATTTTCTGTAAAAAAAATAAAATAAAATGCTATAAATTGTAAAAGAGTATAAAAATTAAAAGTAAAGGCCCATTCATAAAGAGTCGTGTGACTTGGGGGTAGCACTCTGCATGGGACAGATCATAAAGCCAACCATTCATTCTGCAGCTACAGTTAACATTTCTGCCAAATGCATGTGGGTTTCCTCTAAGTATTCAAAATATCTCTGGCATTTGGCATTTTGAATGGGAATTATCTACTTATTGGTTGAAATAAACATTGCAGTCAACTGTGCAACATTTAAGAGCGATGCTAAATGAAAGCAAAATACACAAATAATAGCTAATAATCCAAGAGGAACAACTGCAATGTAATAAATAATGTATTCCTTTATATTTATTAAATATATATATATATATAATTTATATGACTTATTTATGGTAAAAGGCTCCTTTACCTAAAATGGCCAGCCTTTTAAAAATTGCTTGTAAATCTGTCATTATGAGGTTTTCTATTCCTTTTTGGAACTGACTGCTAATAGGTCTCACTGATCTGACTTTACACACCTCAGTTTTTTAGTGAAATGTTCACTCAAAAACTGAACTGAGTGGGCACTGTTGCACATGACAGAGGAGTGCGTTTGTAACACATGGGCATCCCGCTCTCTGAATAACACCGTAAAACGCTTTTATCATAAAGCTTTATACTCACCGATTGATACAGATACCAAGGCATGAGAGAAAACGGAGTGTGTTTCTATCAAATCCTCAGCCATCTGGGGATGTATGCAAAAACTACAAACACAGACGTTTTATAATCAGGGAATGGCGTTTAAAATGAAAATGCACCACATCTGTGAAAAATGTTGGGTGGTTAGCACAAACCACAAACGTTCATATCTTCAAGTTACATGAACCACTGGGGTAAACGTGTGTCGTCTACGCGCAGCTTATCAAATACCCATGTGTCTGTTAAACTACATCCGTTAAAGAGGCAGCTGAGAAGATCCTACAGTTGGATAAAATTCTCAAGCATCTGATAAAGGCATCAAACAGACAGTGCATACAGGAACATATGGGTCTGTAATGTATTACCTATGCACATGTGTGGGAATTCTAACACTCACCAAAGCACGGACCACACTCCAGTTAGGAGGCTGTGTACGAAAGACGTGGAGATGTTTTTCCATTTCCAAACGTTCCTCTGAGCTGTTTCGGGGATAAGAAGTTGGCCGATTCCATAGTTTACTAATTTAAAAAAGCCTACCGAAGACCCAGTGGTCAAAATCACGGAATTCAACTCCATATTTTAAGCGCGCGCTTCTGTCTCGTTGTCACTACCCGAATCTGTAGCACGCGTCTAGACCTACCAGTTACGCGTTTTATCTGTTATTTAATCAAAAATGACATCCCGGTTGTTTGTATTTATTTCATTTTCACTTTCAGTAATCCAAACATATACGACTATGTCGTCTCAGTAGGTAGAGTCCTTGTATAATTTAAAATTGCTCGATTATTCTATCTTTGTTAATAAAAAACAAAGCTTTTTGTTTCAGTGCTCAGTTTGTTCGGTCCGATGTAAAGCTAAGAAGACAGTGATGGCTCAGTCACGAGTGGCAACAATTAAATAGTAGCTAATGTGTGCGTTACAAAATCCTGACGCTTGTGTAACTTTTTCGCTTTTTCAATAACCAAACAAGAGAATCCCCGCCCAATCATCGTGAGGCGCGGTTGAGCAAATGAACGTCTGGTCTCAGGCGTGTGTTTCCTTACGTCTATGTCCCGCCCCGTATGTCAAAGTTGAACTATGGGAGATGTAGTATAGGCGGGGATTTCGGCTGACGCTCAGATTTGATTTTTGACTTGCCATTGAGCTTCTCCAGCCTCTTAATTATTCCATTTGTCTGAAATAAAATAATTATATTTACCAGTAGTTTACATGACTTTTAATTGTTACATTTTCCAACATAATAATAATAATAATAATATTTAACACAAGTAAAGTTCCGCTTAAAAGTTATGTTTATTTATTGCTCGTCATCTAATAAATTGTTGCAGAAGACATCATGTTTGCAGCTCGTCCATGTTACTCAATGTTCAATTGACCATATATATTGAATACATATATTGGTTTTCGGACCCCCCCGGACCCCCCAATACAGTAAAACTGCACATTTTAGAGTGGCCTTTTATTGTGGCCAGCCTAAGGCACACCTGTGCAATAATCATGCTGTCTAATCAGCATCTTGATATGCCACACCTGTGAGGTGGATGGATTATCAAGATGCTGATTAGACAGCATGATTATTGCACAGGTGTGCAATAATCATGCTGTCTAATCAGCATCTTGATATGCCACACCTGTGAGGTGGATGGATTATCTCGACAAAGGTGAAGTGCTCACTAACACAGATTTAGACAGATTTGTGAACAATATTTGAGAGAAATAGGCCTTTTGTGTACATAGAAAAAGTCTTAGATCTTTGAGTTTAGCTCATGAAAAATGGGGGCAAAAACAAAAGTGTTGCGTTTATAATTTTGTTGTGTAATAAAATAAAATAAATAATACTGTTTGTTTTTTTTAATCTGGCACCATGTCACCTGTGTTCGTCCTATAGAATGAAAGAGGTTGAGGTGGACCAGAATAAAATCCTGTTGGTGTGCAATAATGGAGAATTTACTACTGTGGGTGGTCTGTGCACTCATTATGGCGCCCCACTTATCAAAGGTAGAGTATAGTATTATAATCACTCAGTCTGACACAAACAGTACAATAAATAACTCTGGCCTATGTTTACTTAGCACTGTAAGTACAATGAAAGCATGTTTTGTTTCTTCAATTCATCACTCTGTCCTTCACCTTTGTCATTCTTATGAACAATCCGGTTACACTGCCTTTATTTTTTCAATTTTTTTCAAGTTTTTTCAAGTCTACAGTGGCATTGTGTTTCTAAAAAGCAGTGCTATGCTTGTAGGTGCATTGCTTGGAGATCGAGTTCGTTGCCCATTTCATGGGGCGTGTTTCAATACAAAAACTGGAGATATTGAAGAATTTCCTGGACTGGATTGTCTGCCTAAATACAAAGTATGATTAAATACCACAGGATTGAATACACTTTTACAAAAGTAAAGGTTCTTTATTGACATTGATGGTTCCATAAAGAACTTTTAACATCCAAGGAACCTTTCTATAATACAAAAGGTTATTTAAATGGGTCCTTCAGATTATTAAATTGTTCTTCACACTAAAAAAATGGTTTGTTTAAAAAAACTGCTTACTGAAAGGTTCTTTAGGGAACCAAAAAAGGGTTTGTCTATGGCATTACTGCAATAGCTAGCTAGCTTTTGGAACCTTCATTTTTAAAACTGTATTGTAATGTCACTTAAGAAATCAAAACTTTTTGTTTTGTCATATACCTATTATAATTTAAATTATATTTCATGGAATTTCCCATATGATATGAATGAAAACTTTGTGATTTTATTTTTTATCTATTTGTACTGTTCTGTTAAGGTCAAAGTTGAGGGTGGTAAAGTTTATGTGACCACTGATAAAAAGGTTAGTCTCATACAATTATGAATTTATTTTATGGTTCAGTACAAAATTAATTTTTCTTTTCTTTTTGCACTTCTTAGAAATTGAAGAAGCGTGTTAAGAAAATGTGCGGTAGAGTGCCTGGAGTCACTCACACGGTTGCTCTGATTGGAGGAGGTGAGTAAAAGAAACATTATCAGGACAAATCTTTATATATTCACTGCTTATTTTGTGTAAGTGTATCTTTTATCATCCTGGGATGTTCGTTACCCCCTAGAGAATTTTGTGGTGTACTGCAGGGTGTCAGCAAATTCACGAAAATGCTTAACAAAATAAATAAATAAATAAAACATTAAACACATTATTAAGTTAATTTAAAATGAGTTCAGCTGAAGTTCAGAGTCTATCCACTGTCTATCCAAGGCTATCCACTGCCTTTACAAATGTATAGGCCTCTGCCCTAGTCTGTCAGGGTAGGCAGTGCAACATATGTGTGTGTTTGTGTTTTCACAGGTCCAGCTTCACTGCAATGTGCAGAAACCCTTCGTCAGAATGATTATGGAGGGAGAATTATAATGGTTACCAAAGATGAGCAGCTGCCTCTGGATAAGACCAAGCTTAGCAAAGTTGGTATCCATGGATCACTGAGGAAACAAAAACAGATTATATGATTTTAATAGCTCCCCATTGTCTTATTGGATTTATAAACCAGTGTAGTTCCTTGTTTACTGTTAATAAAGCTGTTCTGTTGTGGACCCCTCTAGGCAATGAATATTGAAATTGAAAAGGTGCTGCTACGACAGAATGATTTCCTTCAACAGCATGGAATTGAAGTGTGGACTAAAAAAGAGGTGTGTTTCTTTTATTTCTTTAATTGATTTTCCTGGGATAATTCCTGGGATCACATGCATTGTATTTGTGGACGTTAACAATAATTTGTCCCTCAAAGGTAAAGTCTGTTAACACAGAGGCTAAAACCCTGACTTTCAAGGATGGCACTAGCCAACACTGTGACCAGCTCCTGGTTTCTACAGGTGGCAGGTTAGATCTTAGTTTGTTTTTAGATAAATGTCTCATAAAACTGCTTAGCACCATATGTAGTGATAGACATATTGATTTTTATCTGGATGCAGTGTCTGATGGTGAAATATGTACTTTTGATTTTAGAGCCAGACCTCTGCAATGTCCTGGTGCTGAACTTGAAAATGTGAAATTGCTGGAGAGCTATAAGGACGCCACAGAAATGTATCAAATGAGTGTCGGCAACAAGGCTGTCATCGTTGGAACTTCATTCATAGGTAAACAGAAAACAAATAAAAATAAGTATTATTTCATGAACACTTAGTTAATGGCAATATTGCACAATTATGTCTATCAATCAGGAATGGAGGTAGCAGCTTATCTGTCTGACAAGGCAGCCAGTGTCACTGTTATTGGCAGCAGTAAATTTCCTTTCCAGTCATCACTGGGTCCAGATATTGGAAAAATGACAATGCAGGTCAGTGAACATTGTGGTATTTTCTTAATGTTTTGGTTTATTGCAATACACCATCAATTGCAAGTAATTTCTCTTTTGTTAAAGATGCTGGAAGAGAAAAACGTGACATTCTATACAAGTAATGGTGTGGCTGAAATCCGGGGTAAAAATGGGAAGGTAAGAAGCAGTGCATTACTAAACAATCATAGAGCTGATGTTAGTGCATCATAAACAAAATATCTAACACAATTGTTTAGGTTAAGGAAGTTGTTCTGAAAAATGGTGAAGTCCTTCCAGCAGATATTGTAATTGTGGGCATTGGTATGTACAACAAGTTTGACATAGCAGCTTTGTTGTTTTCACTGAAGCAAAGACATTCATTTTTAACAGTTACATCTATATTCCTTTCTAAGGTGTCATTCCAAACTCTGATTTCCTTAAGGAAACATCTGTGGAAATTGATTCACGCAGTGCTGTTGTTGTTGACAAGGTAACAGCCTTCATATCACATAGAGCAGACACTTTAATTATAAAATATAGCAGTTTTTATGACACCTGTGTTTTGCAGTTCATGAAAACCAACATTCCTGATGTCTTTGCTGCTGGAGATGTGGTGTCCTTTCCACTTCCTTTGGTTGGACATAAGAGAGTCAATACTGGACACTGGCAATTGGCGCAAGCTCACGGTACCACATGATATAATAATCAAATTCTGAATGTTCAAAAATACAAAAGTTTGGGGTCAGTAAGATTTTTTAAAAAGAAATACTGCCAACATATTTATTCAGCAAGGACACATTAAATTGATCAGGACATTTACATTGTTACCAAATAATTCTGCTGTTCTTTCTATTCATCAAGATTCCTGTAGTGAACAGTAGTGTATGTGGAAATGTGTAAAATATGTGGTTGCGGTCCTCCACAGGAAGAATCTCAGGCTTAAGCATGCTGAATCAACAGGTTGCGATAAATACTGTGCCATACTTCTGGACCATGCTGTTGGGAAAAAGTATCCGATATACTGGTGATCATTCCAAGATAAATCTCCCTTCTCTGAGAAAATACAATATTTTAATAAAACCATTTTAACTCTTCATCTATTTTAATTCTGCAAGGCTATGGAGAAGGATACACTGATATTGTTTTCAAAGGAAGCACCGAGGAAAGAAAATTCTTGGTATTTTACATCAAGTAAGCTTATAGTTTATGAAAAGCCTTAAAAGTCCATCAAATGGTGTAAATCTTGAAATTGGGATCTCTCTTCGTTCAACGCCGTTTGTATCATAATCCAGAGATGAAGAGGTTGCTGCCGCTGCCAGCTTGAACTTTGACCCTGCTGTCGCAAGGTTGGCGGAAATGTTATTGATGGGGAAGAGGATCACTAAGGCTCAGGCACAGTGAGTATCCATAAGTTACAAACCCTCAACTCATTGTATCCATAAGCCAGAGCTAAGAATTGAAAAGCAATTATTGAATTTATTTGCATGCATTTGAAAAGTGAAGACTTTTCCTGGACATAATATAGGAATTTGTTCTGCTTTCACAGACCTCAGCTGGTTGCAGCTCCCATGAAAGTGCTTTGGCAACACTTACCTCCATGACTGCATTGATTACAGATTGTCCATCTGTCATTATATTTGATTGACTGACCTAATAGCTTATCTTCAGTAACAAAGACAGATTGGTACTGTGTTTTGTCTTCCATATAAGCTTTTTCCACATAAATGTTGTTTTTGTCCTGGAAGGAATATGCAGTTGTTCTTAGAAACAGCTGAAGCACTTGGATGTCATCAGTGACTAAATAATGTGTGATAAGCATTTGTGCCAGCAGGAAATAATTTCTTCTTCAATGCCTGTATATATACAGATGTGGTCAAAATTATACATACACTTTGCAGTATCTGCAAAATGTTAATTATTTTACCAAAATAAGAGTAAAATACAAAATATATTTTTTTATTTAGTACTGACCTGAATACGATATTTCACATAAAATATATTTACATATAGTACACAAGAAAATAATAGTTGAATTAATAAAAATGACCCCGTTCAAAAGTTTACATACGCTTGATTCTTAATGTGTTATTACCTGGATGATCCACAGCTGGTGTTTTTTTTGTTTTTTTTGTTTTTTTGTAATAGTTGTTCATGACTTGTTTGACCTGAACAGTTAAACTGCCCACTGTTCTAAATCCTTAAGGTCCCACAAATTCTTTGGTTTTCCAGCATCTCTTGCGTATTAGAACCTTTTCCAACAATGACTGTATGATTTTAAGATGCATATTTTCACCCTGAGGACAATTTAGGTACTTACATGCAACTATTGTCATTTAAAATATTTTAATTTCTTATGAATAATTTCATAATTACATGTGGTCAATTATACCAAAGACTTTTTGTTCAAATGTAAATAATTACTCATGCATACAAATTTGGGTAAAACAGTGCATTTTGTTATTATGCATATGTTATAGAAAGATTTGCTACTTATTGTGACATGATTACAGTGATGTATAATATATTGCGTACTGAATAATACATGATGTACACTGTGAGGACGGCAGTCTGGAGGCAGTGCTCAGCGGTCAGGTCCCCGGATGAAGGTTGAGCGTGAATATGGCGCAGAGAGCACAAGCAGCGGGCTCGTGAGGGTTTCTGTGCCTGATACGCGCATTTAGCTTAAGCTAACTTTACACACGAAACTTTACCGAGTCTATGAAGTTTATTTCTCAGCGGACACACTTCTCGCTACAGGTAGGACGTCTTTAAAGCGATTTGTATTACAAACGTGAGTTGTTTGTATGCCAGCGCAGGTTGTTTTTGTGTCAGCCTGTAGTTTCGGTGAGTTTGTTCGTCGTGCTAATTTAGCTAATTCATCACAGCTAGCCGAGTAGCTTAGGCTACTCACTGTCAAAACATTATTTTTGTCATAAAACATAGTAACTAGAAAGTTACTCTGTTTTTAATGCTGTTTCTGTGCTTTCAGGTTTAGAAGGGAATGATTTACCGTAGTTCGCCATATTAATGTACCATTATTCCAGCCTCTTTTTTTTCACTCAGACTCGGATCAAGAGATCGATTTGCGAGGTGCTCCTGAATTGCTATCTGGAAAGGTAGAAATTATTCATTATATCAAGAGTTAGCGCCTAAAACTACTTAAAAGTTTGGTCGAAGTGTTCATGCGTTACTGGTGGAGTTAATAGAGCAGCCAGTCACATACTACACCAAATAAGTGACTCAAATGAATAAGAATCGCTGTTCTGTTCGAGTTTGATAATTCCTCAAAATGTGGGAGCGATTTTTAACGGGACTGATAAGAATTTGTGATGCTGAGCCTGATACTGTCCATACAGTAAGTAAGTTATTTTTTGTTCGTTTAACATAATCTCATAAAATCAGCCAACGTTTTTTCTCTGTATTTTAGTCGTGTAATGTTTAGTATCGATTAGGGCTGCACGATTAATCGCATGCGATATTTAACGCGCATCTTATCAGTAAAGCCGGTTCTGTAATCAGCGGTAAATCTCCATCACCTGCGTGCTTTCACATTGAGCAGATTTTGCCCATTGTGTTGCTTCTGAATGACATTGACTTGAATCTTTTTTACGAAAAATGGCTGTATGAGATTTTGCAGTCTTTGTTTTCTTCGTCTAGAGCTCTATGAATTTCAGGTCTGTTCCATGGAAATTGCTGGACGACATTGCCCTGTCACTAGAGATTGAAGAATATTGTTGTTCCCCCCCCCCCCCCCAACAAAAAAAATTTGCTGATTACAGAACCGGCTTTCTGACAAGATGCGCGTTAAATATCGCATGCGATTAATCGTGCAGCCCTAGTATCGATAGATCTGGGTCGGCAGTATATGGTTGCACCTGTAGTATCGATTCTGGCTGATTGAGTGTATGTATATGGTATGATGAGAGTCATAGTTTACATCATCTAACAGAGAGTAGCTTCCTCTTCTAAGTGGTGTAAAGCAATTGTTTAATCATTCATCAACATATTCAGGGTATGTCATCTTGTTTGACCTAAACTAAAGCATGACAGTCTAGAAAAAATGCAAGCGTTTTAGGTTTTGTATCATATTTGATACATCAGGCTTTTATGGCTTATATGGTAAGATATAGTGAGAATATGAATCTCGTACTCAAGTTGGGGGGAAATCAAATCAGTTTTTTTTTTTCAAAGGCCGAAAATGAGACAAATATGCAATTTGGTGCAGTTGCTGATATTCGTATGGCCAAAAAGTAAGATGACATTCCTATAGCTTGTCATGTAAATCAGTGAGATTTTTATAACAGTATAGCAAGTAACTTTAATAAAATGCATGGACATATCAGTTGTCACTCTATATCCTCCAATAATTTGTCTCAGTAAGATGATGGCAACCCTCTACATTGCGAGTAAATCACTCGCATATGTGACTAAATCTTCACTCTGGGCGACTAAATGATGTCTAATATTAGCTAATGGCTAATAAATTCTTAGAAAAAATAATGGAGTTTTTTTGGAATTCTTCAGCTTTTAAGAAATGCCGGGTTTTCCGGTAGTGGGCGGAACTAATGCGCAAATGACAATCTCATTGGCTGGTGCTCACCTATTATCGTCCCGGTTTTGATTTCAGCAAATCAGTTCCAGCGAATGCACACAACCTGATTCATATTCATGAATCCAGAAGCTCGTTAATCCTTGGTGCGCTTTATATTGTTCTTATTAGTAGAATTCGTATAATAATAAGCCAAGGTGTCCGTAGAGGGTTGTGATGTTTAAATGTTTAGCTTTATGATCAGAGCTCTAGTTTTTATTGTGTGGGCAAAACATATAATACAATGATGATTGAGAGATGATAAACGTTCCTCAAAAGCCTAATGTATCATTTGATACTCGCATTTTAACATGATTTTTCTGCAAAATGATGTATGGATTGGATAAAGTAAATCAGAGTTGCTTCAGTCCAGTAAGTGTTCATCTTGAAATATAACTAACAATATAAAAGTTTTTGTGTACTTTATAAATATCATTAAAGATTACACAGCAAAAAGATGTAAAAAAAGATTCTAAAAAGGTGACAATTATCCTAAAAGGCCTTTTACATGCTAAAATGTATCAACTATTAGACAACAGAAGGCATGTAGTAGATTGTGTACAACAGGTTTTTAAGCAAAAGTTTTGATCATGCTGATAATTTAAAGACCTAGAATGGTAAATTAAGCTTTATAGGATTAATTGTGCTCTTTCCTGTCTGACTAATGGTTGAGACTAACTTCTAGCATATGTCACTTTTAGTTTATCCGTGATTGTGTGTGCAGCGTGAAATAGTGGAATGCTGCCTTTATCTTTGTGTTGATGAACTACTATAAAGAGTGATAAGACATTCTCATAAGTTACTCAATAGGGGATGGAGTTGTCATTTAGTATGGCTTGTACCTTTCTCGTACCTTTCCTCGTTGGTTGTAGTTTCACTTTCTTTGTGCCTGTACTTTCAGCAGCTGTGGGTTTGTCAGGATATGTGTGCTTCGAGGAGGTGTGATGGGAGATTCAGACAGGGGTGCAGTCTGTACCGGGCACTCCAAACATTCCTTAAATATTTCAGTGCTGGACAGGGTCACTCATAATGTGCAATCTCCCATGCTCCTGCTTACTTAAGCCAAGCGTTTGACTTTATCTTTCAAAGGCAGTGTTTAAATGTCACTATTCAGTTTTTGAGCAAATGTGGTATTAAATGTTATGTTATACGTTATAATGTTATGTTATATACGCATGCGATATTTAACGCGCATCTTATCAGTAAAGCCGGTTCTGTAATCAGCGGTAAATCTCCATGAAAAAAAGTTTATGCACACCAAGGATGAAAGTATAAATTTTTTTCTTAAAAAATATCACTAAAAAGCTTTTCATTAAAGTATCAGGAAGCAACTAATAAAACACATCAGTTCCTAAAGCTTTTCTCACTTTGTTTGAGGTTTTATGCTGATGCTTTGTTTAGTTGTTGTTTAATAAGACAGTGTGTTGTTGTGATAAGGGGTCAGTTTTGCACTTGTAGGAGAGCAACAATATTTTCTAATGTTTTAAAACTAGTGTTTTTGATGCGTTTAGTGCTTCTTTGGTTTGTAAACCAGGGACAAGATGATCAAGGATACTGTAACTGAGACTGTCGGTTATTGTTGAAGCCTCAATGCAAGTTGTTCAGTAGTGCATTACCTAATTGCCCATCAGCTGCCTGCAAAGTGATGCCACTGTTAAACTTGCCTGTGTGTTTGGTGAGTCCCTGTACTGAACACTGTACTGTTGTCTTTGGTGAGGTGATGTGTAATCCATTCCATCAGAAAGCCCTCTATCAAACTTGGACCTGCAGTCAAGTGCACATAAGGACTTTGTGTATGTAGCACATGCAAAGCATTGTGGGATGTTATCACATTGGAGATAGGCTGCTGCTTTTATTGTTGCACAATGAGTGAATAACAAATAATGGTTGTTGGCCAACAAGAAAAGTGCTGTTGTTTTTTTGTTGCATTATGTATGCATTACCTGAAATATTCAAAAAGAAGACTGTGTGTTGTTTCTGATGAATGGGCTGAAACATAAAAAGAGCCATGTCTATTCAAAGTGAGAACTGTTACCTTCTCTGAGACCTAGGGATGCTCCGATCGATCGGCCAGAGATCGGTATCGGCCGATAATCACATTTCATGACTTGATCGGTACTCACTATTTGTCCGATCTCACGAACCGATCGCAATTTGATGACGTCAACGCCTGACCACGTACATGATTCGTGGGGACATAAATGATTTGACGCCACAGTCATGTCATCGCTGGTGTGGAAATGCTATGACATTTCGAGAAACAATTAAAAATTTGCTATTTGTCGTATATGTTTTGCATGATGATGAATGGATGGTTCATTTTTAACAGCAGATTCAGTGACGTTAGAGCTGATCTGCGCCTCACTGCACAAGTCTGCAGCGCGTTACGTCTCCACGGGAACCGGAGCTCATCGCAGCCGCTCTAGTCAGTGCTTGTGTTTATGCAGCCGCGGCATGTTTCTCTCTTTTGTGAGTTGGCACAGCATGGAGGATGGAACAAAACCTCGTCTGAGCCATATCGCTGATCGTGGGCTGCTTTTAAATGAACGTTTATTTATAAAACAATATCTTCTTTGGCCATATTAGCCTACTCAATAGCATAATAGCATTAACACAGGCTTTACTCCTTTCAAACTTTATCTGGAATGTCACCATTTCTGTCACTGCCACTTCCCAATCAGGCGAATGAACACACACGTGTGCGCATGAAATCGTCTGCCTCATGGAAAAAAATGTAGTTAATATTTGCATCATTTATGATTTATTTTATCCACCCGCGACAAACCCGCAAATAATCAGAATGCATTTTAAAGCGAGAGAAACAGAGGTTTCCCCTGTAACGGCTGTATACAAAGCAGCGCTGAGCTCACAAACTCTGCTTTATCAGGCATACAACATGAAAGATGAAATGAAAATGACATCGAAAATTTTCTAAAGATAGTCTTCCTTCAGAAATACAGTGATATAAAAACACCAGCGCCTCGTTTTGATTTTTAAATGTGCAGTACGTGCTCATGTTTATTCAACAAAGCCTTTTGGAAAATCGGTCAGTTTTGATATTGTGGCGAGCGCCACAAATAAATAAATAAATAAATGTATGGGAAACACATCCCACAGCACAACCACCTGAGCCCAACTTCAGTCTACTCATCACCTTAATTTTAACTGCGTTTGTAGCCGGTGACATTGCCAGACTGATAAACAAACACTGACCGGAAGTTAACTTCGGGCTGGGCAAGGCGTGTGCGCCCGATGAAACAGTCTATATAAAGCTTGAAGCATCAGAATCGGCATCGGTATCGGCTGATCACCGTGACAAGAAATCGGTACTCCGTATCGGCTACAAAAATCCTGATCGGAGCATCCCTACTGAGACCACTATTATGTGGTTGCAAAATTTGATTGACTTTGTTCAGGGACAAATCTTAATTTTATTGGGGAAACTTTGTCAGAAAGAAGCAAAATTGCATTAATTTTCTCTTCTTGTTTTAATCACAGCATTTCAGTGGACAGAAACGGCAGGCTCTGTAAACACTGGGTTGGTCTGATAAGAAGACCTCTAATGACAGAGTTACTAGTTCCAAGGTCAAGCTGTATTTGCAGTGCTCTCTACTGGGCTTGTAAAAAACAAACACTGCATGCCTGTTTCTGCTAAGCTAGCTTTATCCTACAAGTACAAACATTTACAAAAAACATCAATCTACTTGAATTGTTCCCCAAAGTCTTTAGGCTGTTTTGAGAAGTCAGTATTTCTGCTTATTAAAAGCCAATCTGCAGAGAGTCTTCCTGGCCAGGGCCCATCTCAGCAGCATTGACCACAGAGACGTCTTTCTCACTGTTCACCAGTGCATAATGGTATGTGGCTGGAATGCCAGACTCAACCAGGAAGTGTTTCACTGTTCGAGTTCAACTGCTTTACACTTCTTAATGTCATACACAAAGCCTGATTGATTAGTTTTTTTAGCACTCTTTTGTGAACATTTCAAACCTTTTGTGGGCTGATGCCACCGATGGTCATAGAACAGGAAGTGTTCATGGGAAGGTGATTAATTTACACTGATTGTATGAGAAGACTAATGTTGTCAAAAGACCCGGTATTTCGGTACCAAGTCGGTACTAAAAAAAATTAAAACGCTACGGTACACCGAGAACCGTGGATTTTCACTGGTATTGGTACCGAATACTGAAATTTTGGTACCGTGACAACACTAGAGAAGACAGAGACTTACAAATAAAGAATTGCATTTGTCTTTCTGTATGTGTGTAAAGCAGCTGTATAGCTGTAGATCTCTGCTAGAGCACCTGTTCCTGTCACTCATGGATCATCCTCACCTGTTCCAAATAAACAATCTCACAGGTGCAAGTTAACAGCCTAAGTTTTACTCTTCCTGTCTACCATGCAAAATTAAGCTGTGTTTGAAATCACTTCCTTTTTCCTCATTGAGTGTTGACCATTTATATTTTGCCAGCTCAGCATAATGCCAAATATCTTTAAGCGCAGAAAGTTAAATTAAATGGATAGAGATCAATTATATTTTATCGTCATTTTAGCGTCATGTGAGACTGTGGACAGGAGCAATGTCTTTTGAAAATTTAGTTTTGCCATCACAGGAATATATTCATACAGAAAATGTTTATTTTAAATTGTAAAAACTATTTCACAATACTAATGTTGATATTAGTTTTTTTTTTTTTTTGTAGTTGCAATTCTCTGATTAATGGTTTTTAAAACATTATGAATACATATTTTAAACAACAGCCAGAACGAAGAATTAACCTTTTGTGATACCACCCGTGCAACCACAAAGCTGACAATGTATGCATGTTACAAAGTAAGGTTACTAATAATAACTCTATGGTGCAAAAAGTAATCAGTCATTTAATATTCAAACATCAGTGTCTGAATTTGCTCGCTAATTTTTGTTCGCTCCTCCCTATCAGCGTTCAGTTACCGATCTGTCATCGTCGTGTCCTTGAAAGGCTCCTCAGCGCCAGGTTGCTCTTGGCAACTGGTACATAGTAAGTTGCTACAGCATAAGTAAGCAATGTCATATTTGACATCACTCCTTTAGCACAGTCCTTTGTGGTAATACTTGTCAAATATGAGTTATGACTGCTCATCACTGTGTTGTAAGTATTTCCTTTGCACTGCTTGTGCAGTCTTTTTTTCCCCTAGTTAATGTATATCTGCTTCCGGAAACTAGTTTGCAGTTCCAGTTCTGCAACTTTTGTTTGAGTACTTCACTCGCTCTGAATGTTTTCATTACCCTCATTGTTGGAAATCAGCACTTCATAAAACATTCACACCATTTCCAAGACTCCTGAAGCTGTGACCTTGTGCCCAAGTTGACATCTTTACAAAAGATCAGGTTACACTTCAAATGCTTCCACACTTTTGAAAAATGCCTCTTGCTGTTACATCGTCCCAGGAAGCAGCTGAGTTTTCCCAGGCTCAGCCGGTCAAGTGTGGGAGGGGGTTTCGGCCCACACATATCAGAGTCCAGTATTTGGCTTCTGGGAGTGTCTCTGATATCCATGGAGAGAATGGGCAGGGCAAAAGCAGAGAAAAGGGAAAGTATGGAAAACTGGACCGCTTTTTGTACTGCATAAAGAGACAGAAAGGTGAAAGAGCTGACGTTTAAAATCCAGCAGCTGCCTTTATCTGTCTTCCATGTTTTGTGAATGAACAATGTGTTAATTGGGATCTAAAGTTTTCACTCAACAATAAGACTTGGATGTGAATTTGATAATTGCTGTTTCTTTGTCTGTGCTTGTGAGGTGTGAAACCATCATGTAATTCAATGCTAATATTAATCTAAAATGTCACTTCAAACAGTGGTGTCATTAGTTACTTATACTCTGATTTATTTGACTGATTTTTAGTACCCATTTCTTTCTATGTACACTACCACTACCATTTTTAAAGACATTTTTCAAAAATATATATTTCTCTCCCCTAAATGTTTGATCATGCGCTGCATTTTTGTTTTTACAATCGTGCAATTGTTGCACTATAGCTTGCACACAGCGTGAGGCGGCCTTTTACACCAGGTTCACACATACTCCGTTTGCAGTGTGCATGCAGTCCATGTGTGGTACGTAAGCGGTGCTCACTGTGCTTTCACACAGGAGTCTGCAACTGATCCGTGGCTGTTTACTACAAACACAACATTTATCCATTATTTTGATTTCAAATCCAAACATTGTTACTGAAAATGCTTTTTTCAGCATTGTGATTCCTTTTTTTTACACAGTGCAGTAGCTAATACAATCTTTCATAGACGTGTTTAAACGCAATAAATATAAGAAACACATTATTCAATGCTTTTTACTTTTGCATTTACTTCTAGATTGGTATGTTAGATTGCTCAAGCAAGTGGCAAAACATTTAAACTACTTTTCTAACACCGTGTCTACACCGGACGCGACAGTTGTTGCACCGCAACCGCTAAAGTCTGTCTACACTGGACGCGACAAAGCGACCGCTGAAAATCATTTGAAATTTGTGTCAATACGTCATAAATAGAACGCAGTAGCAGTTTTCTGTCGGGGATTTGTCGTGTCGCGCCGCGCCGCATCCAGTGTAGACAGCATCACTGATTATGAGTTCTATAGTATTTTGTCACGCCGCTCGCGTCCGGTGTAGACACAGTATTACATTATCACAAACATTCTAAATTAAAATTTACCATTGACAGAAACGGTCAGTTCTACTGCCTTTTTTTGCATTTAAATCTTTTACAAGCAGTCTTGTGGTTCATAAAGAACTTTGTTTTCCTACCTCCATGAGTGCCGTCTATTATTGCCTTGTTTATCTAAAAGTGCTCTTTTCCTTTAAACCTAGCCAAAAAGCCTATGTTGACTGTGAAACACAGTAGACTTTATTTGCTTTTAATAACTTTATTTATTCTATATGCATTTATGGTGTAATTACTACATTTTCATGTCAATCCATGTTCATATTTACCGCAAACAATGTGCTGTCACTTTAATTCAGCGCTTGCAGCGGAAACTATCTCTGCACTGCTGCAGATGCACCGCTACTGGAATGCACTGACGGACCGCAACCGTGTGCAGGGTGAACGTTTTAATCCGTTAACATGAGTGTGGAAAAATACACACCGCATACACACTGCAAATGGAGTAAGGTGAACCTGGTGTCATGTGTGTGCGCTGCAAGTGTGCATGAGCGCTCAATCTCCAGGAGAGCGCGCGAGCGCTGAATGGTTTAAACACTGGAAAGAATTAAAAAGAAATGCAATTTATAAACTTTAGTGACGACGCGACACTGTCTCGATTGTGCAAGTGACAATTCCTGTGTTAACTGTGCAGCATGCAGCTCGCTTATAGTGCAGACACGATGTGATTTGAAGCCATTTGCGCATTTTGAGAGAAAGAGAGAGTGCGCGCTGTGATTCACTCACGCTGTTTGTGAAATTGTCTCGCAGAAAGTTTTCAAATGAGCTACTTTATAAGTTATTTAATGAAGAAATATGAACTGTACCTCACCTTCAGCATTATAATTATTTCACCCGCGCTGGACAGAGACTGAGATTGTGCCGCTGCATGTCGTGCCAAACCTCTGACGGCAGGCGCGCCATCAGCTTGAGATCGTTTTTTTTGAGATTGGCCTTTATAGAGACCACCGATCAATCATCCCAAAGCGATTATCGGCCGATAGTGATCGGTAGCCAATCAATCGGAGCACCCCTATTAAAATGTATGATGTTTGTACAATGTAAAATGTAATTTATTCCTGTGATGGCAAAGCTGCATTTTCCACAGCCATTACTCCAGTCAGTAATAATATTTGTCTTTTCCTGTTTCTAGGTCTGATGCTTTGCTGCAGCCATGTTCAGCAAGAAGAAAAAGCAACGGATTCAGATCTCAGCCCCCTCCAACTTTGAGCATCGTGTCCACACTGATTTTGATGAGCAGGAGCAGAAGTTTGTGGGGCTTCCACGCCAGTGGCAAAGCCTCATTGAGGACACGGCCAAGAGGCCCAAACCTTTCATCGACGCCACAGTCATCACTACTGTAGAGCCACGCAAGGTCAGAGGGAGGGAGTCGGCATGTGTGTTTGGTCTAGGTCTTTAGCTTTTGTATGTTACTGTTGGTGAGTTATAGCAGCAAGTTTTAGATTTACTGTGAGAGATTCTTGTTGATGTTTACAAGTAGGGTTGGGAATTGAGAAGTGGTTCCATAAAAATAAAAAAATAAAAAATCAATAACTCATTACTTGTTTGCATTGCCCAGGCAATTGTACGGGGTCGTAAGATCGGTGACGATGGCTCTCTCACGTGGCTTTTGGATGAGTTTGAGACCATGTCGGTGATCCGCTCAAACTCCCTGCGGGGAGGCAGTCCACCACCGCAACCACGCAGAGACTCCGGATCATCGGGAGGGGGCCATGAGAATGGAGAGCACTCCCAATATAGACACCCTGATCGATATGGAGACAGCAAAGAGAGGTGCACAGATGACATCTCTTATTCCATCTAAATTTTTGGTTTCCAAAGACTACAGTGGCAATATTGACAGTGAGACTTTTTTATGTATGTAGGGAGAAACCACGTCAGGAGCACCCAGGTGCTGATCCCAGACAGTCTCAGCGCCCAGCCCGGTCATCCAGAGAGGACAGCCGACCTCAGCAGCAGCCTCGCGGTCAGGAGCCCAGCAGACACAAAGAGCCTGACTGGTCAGCAGGGCCAGCCTCACCGCCCCAGCACAGAGAACGAGACAGAGACCGAAAGCCACGTGATTATCATGATCAGGTGGTGAGGCGAGAGGGGGCCAACGATAAGAGGCCCAAATCTAGCTACACCGGGAGGGACAGCAGCCCACAATCACCCCGTGAGAAGAGACCACTATCTGGGCCAAATATTCGCACCCCTAACCTACCTGTTACAGAGGGAGTGATAAAGACCGCACAGCAGACCAGCCGACCTTTCAACACGTACCCACGATCCGAAAGTGACTCTGGGAGGAGCCCCAGTGTTCAGGTACACAGATCAAATCAAACGAATTATACTACCTTGTTTCTACAATATGAATTTCTTTTTTTAAATGTGTATAATAGGGCTGGGCTGCAAAGTGTTGTACATTTATTATATAATAATTTAATTGTATTTTTATGTAATAAAATGTAATTTATATTATAAACAAATGTACATTTGTATAAAAATTACTCTGTTCTAGTGTTGTCACGGTACCAAAATTTCAGTATTCGGTACCAATACCAGTGAAAATCCACGTCATTATATATAATATATATGAAATATAAGATTTTTTTAAGGGGACATAACTCACTCAGTTTTTGCCAATCTCATGTTAATCTTGAGTACCTATAGAGTAGTATTACATCCTTCATATCTCAGAGTCTTTAGTTTTATCAGATTGATAAAAGACTGATACAGCTTTACACTTCTCTCCAAAAACAGTTGAACTCCTGGAGGTGTGCTGTGGGCGGAGAGTCACAAGCACACAAAACTTTTGCGTAGCAATCATCTGCAAGGTGTGACATTGACATAAATAAAACAGGAACAAAAAGTGTATTAACTTAAATTTTATTTAATTTGTTTATAAAACATTCTTCACCGAAATGCCGGGAAGAAGCAAACACACTTGCACAACTCCCCTGGAGAAACAAACTGCATCCACTGTTCCCTTAACACGCTGGGTTCTTTGGGAAGATGAACAAGGTTATCTTTCACTCACAACCAAAAACACACTTCTTTGGTGACATTAGGTGTGTTCAACTTGACGCCGCGCTGCACAGACCGATCAGTGTATGACATCAAACTACTGCAAGAGTGATTCGAAAGCATAAGGAGCCGTCTGCTTTCTATAGAGATCTCCCATGGAGATCCATTCATTTTTCTGGATTTGGCTAACTGCTCGTTAATGCAATGTGGAACAAACATGATCACACAAACGTGCACACACAGACACGCACACATACCTGGTCTTCATTAATATATTTAAAATATATTCTTATTTATGTTTGTTATGCAGGATTTAAAACCAGGAAAATCTCTTGAGCCTTCCCACCACAACGGCCCCTCTACTGGGGCAGTCCGGGGTGGAAACAGCAGCGGTAAAAGTGGTTCTCGGGGGCAGCACAGAGCAGAACCCCAGCATCACGCCTCCCACCCAGCCTTAGGCCCCGAGCCCCCTCACAGCCAGCAGATACCCCCGATACCAAAACCGTCAGGCCCGGCTGCACCGCCACAGCAGACGCGCTCACCTCAGAGGGAGCCGCAGCGGGTCTCCCACGAGCAGTTCCGTGCTGCCCTGCAGATGGTGGTTGACCCTGGAGACCCACGCACATATCTGGACCACTACATCAAGATCGGTGAAGGTTCCACCGGCATTGTTTGTATTGCTACAGTGAAGACCACAGGCAAGCTGGTGGCTGTAAAGAAGATGGATCTGCGAAAACAGCAGCGACGAGAATTGCTGTTTAACGAGGTGGGTGCAATACACAGGAGATTACGGTGTTATAATTGGTTGTTCAGAAAGGTGTTTGTGTGTGATATGTAGCACATGGGAGCTTAAGGCTGAAATTCCAATCAGCAACAGAAAAGCAAAAATGCTTCTTCAGTGAAACACTGTTTATAGATTGCATGAAGGAATTGTGTGAAAATTATAACTGCTGGTTGATTTTCCTTCCACAAAATCATTCCTTTTCCGCTTAATGAGATTTTTAAATAGAAACCTTCTGCTGGCTTTGTTTCTTGTTTCTAAGGTGGTGATCATGCGGGACTATCACCATGAGAACGTGGTGGAGATGTACAACAGTTACTTAGTAGGGGATGAACTCTGGGTTGTCATGGAGTTCCTTGAGGGTGGAGCTTTGACTGACATAGTCACACATACCAGGCAAGTATTTCTTAGAAGTCCAATCACTAATTGTTTTTTTCAGTTTTGTTCTTAATCACATGTACTTTCAGATTCTCTTTAAATAATTTATTGTATTAGTTTTTGCTGCTTTTTTAAATCAATTTTTTTTATCTGCACATTTCTTTGAAAATATGATCAACCATAAGTCCACACATCTCTAGGAATTAGTGCTGTCAAAATTAACGCTTTAACGCAGGCAATTAATTTTTTCAGTTTAACGCGTTAAAAATATTTAATGCAAATAACACAGGGCTGGAGCTAGGGTTGCCCACCCCACTCACAATTGCTGCTTCTATCTCTTTTTTTCTTGACAAGAATTGCATTTATTTAGATGCAGAATGTCTTTACGACCACATGAAACTTGAGACTTTTCAGATGCGCACTCCAACTTCGCCTCCGCACCAGGTGCTAGTCAAGCGCAGAAATTGCACAGGTACAGGTGCTGTTCAGTAGAACAACAGCTAACTGCAGTCAGATGAGATGTTGTCCAGTCATATGTTTGTAAAAACAAATTTTCCTGTCCTGTCAGCCATTATACTGTGCTCTTCAGTTGCACGCACAAATGTGGCGGTGGGGCTGTAGCCTGTATCATTTCATATTAAAGCGCGAAAGAAACTACGAGCATGCAATGTCATAGATATGTCGTTAGTTAAGTCATGAAGTTACCAAAAAGGTGATTAAAGCTGGCTTAAAATTGTGCATGTAAGTATTTTTTATATATGAGTCACATTTAAGAACTTGTCTCTGAAATGCAGTGGTTTTCAAAACTGTCCTGGAGCAGCCCAGAACTGTTTCCCTCATCTAACACACCCGATTCAACTCGTCAGCTCATTAGTAGAGACTTTAAGACCTGAAGTGGGTCAGAAAAGGTAAAGAGTTTTGAGAAAATACAATACATGTCAGATCCGCATCATGTTCAGCAGCGGCAGCTCTTAAAGTAACAGCAGACAAAAAAATCTAATAACCCAGCTGCTGTGATGTCTGTTAATCAAAGAATAAAAGACAAAAAGAGGAAATCAGTAACTTGTAGCTTTAAGGGTTCATCTATATTTAATTTAGAATTTAGTGTTTGATAACTTATTCAATTTCTGTATATTTAATTTCCTACTTGCTGAAGGGCACAAGTGACTATGATGTTTATTATTATGGGTTTATGTGAAGATTGTTTTAAGTTCACTTAAATTAAAAGTTATTTTTTAAAGTGTAATAGATGTTAAAATTGATAGCTCTCAATTATACTGTAATGTTGAATGGCTAGTCAATGGTTAAATATTAGGGGAAAAAACTGCTTTCTAGAGACATCAGTAGTGTTGGTATCAGTAATACTCGCCTTCAGTCATAAAAAAGATGCCATTAAACAAATATTAAAAATATACTGTCTTTATATTGTTTCTGCATTAATTTGAAGATTGAATGTGAAATTATTGCAATATAAAAATATATTTAAAAACTTTAATGTTAGGTGGGATTAATCGCGATTAAATTCAAACAAAATGTGCTATTAATTGACAGCACTACTAGGAATTAAATAATTCTGTTGTCTTTGTGACAGAAAACAAATGCATTTACTAATAAAAATATAAAAATATACATATTGTAATAAAAATATGAAATACATTTATGTTTAAAGCCCATTCACCTGTTACTGAGCAATAGTGCAGTACCACTAGGTGGCAGGATATCACAGCAGTCCAGTTTGGTATGTCATTCAGCCTGTATGATCATTTTATCAGCCTATAAAGATTTCATTCAATGTTTAACATTTCCTTTATTCTATTTGTCTTTTTTTCAGGATGAATGAGGAGCAGATTGCCACCGTTTGTCTGTCTGTTCTGAAAGCTCTCTCGGTCCTTCACTCTCAGGGAGTCATTCATAGAGACATTAAGAGTGATTCTATTCTTCTCACCCATGATGGCAGGGTAAGTCCCTCCCTGCTCTTAAAGGAAAAATCTACTTCAATTACGTCAGATGATAACTAGTTCTTTGGTCCTACTCTATGCAGAGCTGAAGCTTTACAAGTCATGTTTTGACTTGTGTTATGAGCTCAGAAAACTGCCCTACTTGCTGCCATTGTGTTGTTGTTTTCTGAGAACCTGTGTTGATGTTTAAACAGGTTTTTGGCAGCCTTGTTCTTTTGTGTTCTCAGACCTGCATGTCCACTCGTGTGAGAAGATGATCTAAATGTGTCATCAAGTCAGCAGTGTACTAAAGCAGAATTAAATTGTTGACCAAGTGCTGAAATCTCAAGAATATAATAATTTACTTGAATACTTCACTTAAGAGAACTCAAACCTGGTATACCCCGGTTTTAAAAAGAAGCTATCGTTCGTGATACATATTAGTGGTGGTTTACTTTTTTTTGTAGCCACATGCTTCACAGTGCATTTACAGAAATATAATCTTGTAATTTCCTGCCATGATACCAAACCCATATCTTTTTTTTTTTGATGGTGCTGAAATAAGCAGTGGTTTGTTAGAAGGGGTCTGTACTTCATCGTGTGTGTGGTTGAAATAGGCAGAAGTTCTTTCAGTCACCCTCAGCTGTTTCTCGGCAGGGGCTGATTGTCTGTGTATGCGTGTTTGACCTTACATGTTTCATTTCCTCTTGCATGTTTCTGACACTACTTCTCATGCAATATCCCAGAGGCGCATAATTTATTGCATAGTCAAAGTATTGCACAAGCTTTCAGTGAAAATTCGACAAGCTTCTTTGAAGCTAATTAACCAATTATTTGTGATTCAAACAGGCCTTTTTATACTTTCACATGTTCTTTTGCAGTATAATTTCATGAAACAGTGAATGTTTTAGAGCACATGAAGATAATTAAAATATTAACCAGCAGATGATTATTCACACATTTATAAATGTCATGTTTTAATATTTCTATCTGATTTAAGGATGTCAAATGTACTGGTTCTTTGATACCAAAATTATAGTGAAATTAAAATTGAAATCAGCCATCAGATCATTATTAAACTGAGTCAGAACTTTTAAAGTCTCGCATGTGTACTTGTGCACGTGATCTGCAGAGAGCACTTGCACTACCAGTGATCTTGCTGTGCATGAGAACGATTGCGTGCTTTTCTCAATTAAAATGTCATCTTAGTGAATTATTAATGGTTTGTCTTAAAATGCAACTCAACAGACCTGCCATTGTCTCTTTTGTTGTTAATATTAGTCTAACCAGTGTAGAAAAACACCAGCAGTTTATTTTTACACTTAAGAGGAATAATGACCTGTGAATGCATAATAATGCAATCCCAAGCGATGAAAAAAGAAGGCTAAATAAAAGTCTTGATTTGTTTTGGCAACTAATATAACTTTTCTCTTTCTTTTGGTGTTATCTCTGCTGTCATTTGCAGGTGAAGCTGTCCGACTTTGGCTTTTGTGCCCAGGTCTCTAAAGAGGTGCAGCGCAGGAAGTCTCTTGTAGGAACACCCTATTGGATGGCCCCAGAGCTCATCTCAAGACTCCCATATGGACCAGAGGCAAGTCACATCCCCCTTTACTACATATGTTGCATCAGAGTCCTACACACAGGCACGGGTGACCCGCTAATATCTGATGTAATGGGTGGAGTATTATTTACAATAGCCAAGACTATTACTTGACTCCATTCGATACCTCTGATTACTTTCAAACAATCCCGTGCTTATTTGTGTTCATTCTCTGTATTCTGAAGACAGTAAAAATGGTTTTATTTACAATACGTTCTATTCACACATGTTTCTGTTGAGCTTATGAACACTAAAAAATAATTTTAGCCTACCTGATTTAGTAGATTTAATGCGGGTGCGATCTTAATGTCAAACGGGTCGGGTACGGAATAAATAATTAATAATTATTAGTGCTGCTGTCAAATAATGGGTCGGGTGTTCTGTTAAGTACTGCGGGCACGGGGCGGGTGGGGGTTTACCAAACAGGACCCGTGCAGGACTCCGTGTTGCATTACTGCTGACAGCACTGTAACTCACACAATTAAAACTGTTTCTACAGGTGGATATTTGGTCACTTGGCATTATGGTCATTGAAATGGTGGATGGAGAGCCGCCATACTTCAATGAGCCTCCGCTCAAGGCCATGAAGATGATCCGAGATAATTTGCCACCCAAGCTCAAAAACCTCCACAAAGTAAACCCATGTCCTCTTGCTTAAGCATCTGGGCAAATACATATTAATGTTTAAACCAGTGTGTACTGACCAGATTAAGCATGTTTGGCACTGCAGCTTACAGTGTTGTTCTGTATCCATAGGTTTCGCCACTTCTCAAGGGATTCTTGGACCGGATGCTTGTGCGAGATCCTGCCCAGAGGGCCACAGCTCAAGAGCTGTTACAGCATCCCTTCCTGGGTAAAGCGGGCCCTCCCTCTTGCATTGTTCCCCTCATGAGACAAAACCGCATGAGATGAGAAGAGAAATCTGGGTGGGATCTGTCAGACCCTCTGAGTTCAAAGCAAAAACCCAGATGCAAAGATGGAGTCTGTTCTCTGCACAGTTTAAACATCTGAAATGATTGTACAGGTCAAGACTTTTAGGAGAAAAGACCACTGATGCTACGGACATTAAGAGGTTTTTTTTAGCCAGATATTTTTACCACTGTTTTTATTACACTATAAAATACACCACATTTGGTGACATGAAATAGACATGATTAGATCCTTCACAGTGTTCTGCTGGAAGAGGTTTCCCTTTCCGACTAATTCAGAAACACGAGAACATGTGTTCTCTCAGTGGTTTTATGCTTTACCTCTAACACTGTGCTTTTGGTGAACCAAATTAAGGAGGTTTAGACATTATGAAAATTAACCACTTGGAGATTCTAATCTGCCCTCAATGCAAAGCAATAATTTGATGGATTTGTTTGATGGAAGCTATTTTTTCCCCCCCTGCACTTCTTCTTTTGCACCATGACCACACTACTCAGTCCATTTTTTACAGGAAAACAACTACTGAAGAAAACCTTTTAAAAAAGAAAATATGAAACTTTCGGCTCCTGTTACAACACTAAGCAATGGTAAACACTGGAGGTGTTTTTTTTTTTTTTCAGACCATTTTTAATTTTGATTTAATGAACAGAGTTATATTGGTTTTGTTTTTATATTGCGTTTTGAGTGACAGTGTGATGTTTTAAACACTGTTCTGAGATTGCGCTGCACTCCAATATGAAACTTCCTCCTTTTATTCATTGTTCCACTTTATGTAATAAAGGGGGGAAGGGTTGGGTGTAGGGTTTTTTTTCTTCCAAAACTTTCACCACGGCACCGTGCCACATTAGCTGAGGAGATTGAGTTGTTTTCAATGTAGGGCAGTGTGTTCCTTTCATGTGTGCCCACATCCTCCAGCTAAGTAGCTTACATCTTTGAAGTATCGTGGCCTTTCATTGTGGATGGTTTTGCCGGAGAGATGTTGAACTATACAAATGTATAGCTGAGCTTTACATATGCTCTATTTTATGAGAGCTCGTTCAATGGAAGTGGACCATATAGGTATAGATCCCACACATTAAAATATAGGTCAGAATGCGTTTGTACTCGTGTAATTGGCCATTTACACTACGGCGTTTTGTTATAAGAGCACCATGACACGTTCAAGGATTAAGAGAAGAGTAGTGGAACAACCAAAGGCAGTTTGAAATTGTGAATGTTTATAATACTAATTAGTCCAAGTACACTACACCACATCACTTTAAAGGAATTGTTCATCTTTATACGAAAATTGTGTCATTTATTCACCCTCATGACCTGTATAACTTCCTTTCTTCAGTGTTTTTTGAAAAAACTTTCAAAAAAATAAATAAATCACGGAGTTGACATCTTATGTTTCACAGAAGAAAGTCATATAGGTTTGACATGGTATGAGGGTGAGTAAATGATGACAATTTTCTTTTTTGGGGTGAACTGTCCTGTATCTGTCTTCAGTCACAAAGATCCAGGACCAAAGTGGATGGGAACGATGAAAAAAAAACAAAAAAAACATTGAAAGGCTGTTTAAAAATGGTTCAGATTTGTTGTAGTGACTCCACATGAATACTAGCTAATCATTTGAGAATGTGAATGCACGTTTGTGAGAAGATCGAGGTCGCATTTACATTCAGTAATTCACAAATTGAGGAAGAACTGTAGAGATTAATCCTAGACTATATATATTTTGAGTTTTTCTAAAAATCGTTTCTTTTGCTGAGGGCCTAAACTGTAACACAGCAACCCTAACTCTAATTGTAGATGTGAAGGTATGAGAAAATTAATGACAGTTATTGACAGACGTAATTAATATAAAAACACTACTAGAATGTTTGTTTTTTTCCACCAGTAAAAGTTTTTAATGGCATTTCTTTACATACTGGAATTGCGTTACTTTTTCAGGAGGTGAAACATGAAACGATGACAATCATGCATTGGAGCAAGTATGCACATGCATTTAAATGTATATTCAGAGATGAATAAATAATGAAATTGAAAGAATAGCGTTTATAGGCTCACGTTGATCTGTGAAATATTGTAGGGATTGTAGATAGTTGTTTAAGATCCTCAGTGCACTGAAGCAACGGGTTAGCAATCCTACAAACAAAGAAAAAACGCCTTAATGCATCTTTAATGCAGAACTGAAAATGAACACATTCTGTTTAGGCAATGGATGTTCCACAGCGTGCTACTTGATTTGTGACCAGCCACACTTCTTTTCTTTTTCTTTTTTTCTTTTGATACGTCTGCAAATGTTTAATGACTTGACTGTTTAGAAAGAGGATACCTCCTATGACCACAAGCCTTATGTGATTGGATGTATGAATGGATATTGCTGTACCGTGAGCAAAATGGCATAATGCATGACTTTCTCAAAAGACTGATCCAGTGAAATGACTTCTCTATTTTCTGAATTACATTCCCAGGGCTGATCAGAGAATGATCTCTTATGTGGTAAGGGAATGATCTGGATTTTTCTTTTTTAACGTTTCCGATTTTGTTCCACGGTGCTCACGATCAGTACTGCAAATGCTCTCTGGAAGGGTACATTGTATTATAATATGGCTTTCATTTTTTTTTTTCTCACTTAGTGAGTCTCAATCTTAGATTGTCACTGCATTAAAACTAACGGATCGCTCATATTCTGCTGTTGACTTATTATAAGCCTGATAGGTTTCTAAATAATCTTGCACTGTATTTTTTAAGTTCGTCATCATAATTTCCTTTTTCATCATGTAGATAGTTTTAAAGAAACTTGTTTTAAAGGTGGAATAGAAGCATGAACTTTGTGCTCACTGCTGGCATTCTGAGATCATCCTGATGTTCCCCCATGTCTGACGGACTCGCTTTGGACTAATCATCTTCAACATCTATTTGAAACTGCTACTGACAGGCCTGTTTTTTTTTTGTGAAGTGTAAAATGGTTCATAATTGTTCATACTAGTTCTGTTTTTGTTTTTTCCTTTTATTTCAAAGTATTGTCATTTTGGTGGACAACTGATGTCAGAGTTCCCTCTATAATATGTGAATTTTTACTGGTGGTAAAATTAACTTTTTTTTTTTTCAAATACAGTTTTTAAACATGATCTTTCGGCTCCTTCATTTCACTCTTTAAGCCAGATGTGGTAGTATGATTTTGTTCTTGAGATGAACAGAACTGTTTCATACTTAGCACAGGATGTGTCATAATTTTTCTTGGTGATATGTGATAATTATCTAGATGGTGTGAACTGGGAAAGTACTTTCAGTGAACTCAGATGCATTTTATTAAATTATAAATAATGTTGAATAATTTCATAATATTTTATAATTTAAAAACTACAAGCAGAAGCTGCTTGTTCATATTTGATTAAATTAGAAATCTATTGTAATTTAACAAATAAAATATCAATACAGAATAGCTAGAGAGAAAGAGAGAGAGATAAGGCTGAACACCCCTGCTTTACAACATTAGATATGTTTAAATGCGCCTCTATGCGCCCAGAAATGCAGTCTAGTTAGGCTGCTCATAAGCTTTTGAGACACAGCCACCGTCAGTGCATATTTTCGCTCACAGGCGATGCATCCACCCTGTATTTTATCTCTTCTGTTTTGTTTCTGTTTTCTGCCTCTTCCTCAGATTTTAAGCCAAATGGGGAAGCGGGTGCGCTTTAGGTGTGATCGTAAAAATATTTGTATAAATAATAAAACCACAGTACTGCTTTTCCACAAATTGCTTTCGGTTTCCAGAATGTGGGCGGTCCGTTCTCGTCGCTGTGGGCGGGACTGTCGTGATCGCGCAGGCCGGCGACCAATCAGAGCTCGAGCTGCGCATGATAACTCAGCTGTGCGGTGAGTCATCTGACAGCTGCTCTGGAATAGATGCACTTGTTGAATCGTGTCCCATTCAGCCGGGGGTCACAGGTTGTGTGCTAAGTCATCTGAAATCTTTGACGGCTCCCTCGTGAATGAAAACACACTAAAGAACCGACTGGACTAGATCGATTTTATAACCTCACATCACCACGAGCTGCATTGCCAGGTGAGTTTCGTTTTGGATCAGACTTTAACATACAATACGATGCAACAATAGAGCTTTTGTGCACCTGTCTTCCTTTTCTCAAACCTACAGCAAGCGTGTGAATAGTGCTATTGAATCACACACGGGTTTTGTACAGTGTTAATAGTTAAAAGTGAGTGAAAATTGTTTTACCCCAATTTGTGACTGCAGATCAAAATAATTTTGTCACTACATTATATACACAAATATAATGGTGTAGTGAAAATCGTGTAGAGATGAATTGATATTTTTGTGACTGATAATGATTTTTTTTTGTTCCATAACCAATATGCCATATACAGAGGCTTTTTAAAATTGTTTTATTTCTGATTTTAACAATAGAATAAGTAAAATAAATAAATAAATTCATTAAAATTTTATTGAGACAGTACAAACTGCATTATAAATAATAAATAAATAAAATATAAAAATAAATAACATTCATGCCATTATTTTTTCTGCAAATCTAAATTTATCTTTATTTTTTCTTTGCATTTCATTTATTTAGTTGCTTTGCATTTATTGCATTTATTGATTGCTCCAATACTGATGATCTGAGAATCGATCAAACTGATTATTGTTCTAGTTTGTGGTCCATAGGATTGCAGTCATGACAGTATAACATAATATACCTACTCAATATTCTCCCTATGCACAGTATATATAATGCACAATACAACTTGCAGTATGCAGTTCACATAATCGTTGTGCAAAATGCACTTACTGCTGACACTCACATCAGTGTTCCACAGTTTAATAATGTATTTAGTAAAGGAGGTGGCGGCAAGCCGCCCATGTTGTGGTCTGTTTTGTGCCAAGCTTATGAGTGAAAATGTCAGGCTGCCAAGAAGGGACAATCCTGCATGTTACACAGATGACTATACCATTGCAGAAATCAAAGCAAGCGTTCAGTGTTCATGGTTCTGGAGTTGTTTTGTGTGCATCTTGCTCCACTTTGTGGCAAAACTGCCAGTCATTTTTAGACCACTATCGACTGACACCCTGACATTTAACGCCACCTTTGGTATGGGAAATTGCACTTTGGGTTGTGCAGGTTGTGCTATTCTTGGGTCACATGCTGGGTGTGGTGTGTGCCAGCTGTAGCAAAGCCAGCTGTAGATGCATCCCTTCTCTTTGTGTGCGACCACACCAACATGTGGTTAATGGTTTAAAACACCCTGTTAGTCACACATGTAATGCACTTAAAAATGCATCTTTGAATGATGCTTGCAATGCAGTAGATGCAAGACTCAGACCTGTGCATCTGTTCAGTAATGGAAACTGCTGATACGTGAATAGCTGCAGCTTCCTGAGCTCTGTCTTTGTGTTTGTGCGTTGTGTCAGCAGGACAGGTGTTTTTGATGTCTGCACAGCGATTGTCTCTCTGGCCATGTGTGCGTACTGCCCTGAGCTGCGGGGTTCTCTTGCTGGCTGCTCTGCCAGACTTCACCACAGGTATGAAGATTTCCTTTCAGCAACCCACATCTTCCTCTTCCAGATTACCAGCCACTAGTAAAGACTGTCAAATGATCAGTTTTGCAATAATCACTTATGAAACTTTGTATAGGCACTTGTGGGCCAATCAGTCTTGTTCAATCTATGAATCTATTAAAAAATAACACTCTTACGGTGAGCATGTTTTTAATTTCCAGATTAAAATTAATTTTGTTATTTTTGGGGGGGTCAAAATGTCAGGGTGATACAACTTTCTTGATCATAATGAAGAAAAAAATAATTAAATAAATGAAATGATTGAAAAGAAAATCATATGATTTTTTTTATTAATTATTAATAGTCATACTAATATTATTATATCTATTCATAATTATTATAACAATTAATATCATGTAATATTGTTTTATTAATTGTGTAATTAGTTTGTCAAAAAAAATGTTTAATTAGACAAATATTTTAACAAAATTGCTCCACTACTTTATTTGCAGAATGTCTGCCACCAAAAGTCGTGTAGTGCAACATGAATACAATGAGTACATGTAGGGGCTCGATTTGACCTTATCAGGGTCATTTCTAATTTATCTTTCTTATTTCAAGGCAAGAATTGCTCCCACCCGATTGTACCAGAACATGGAGGTTTCCGCTGTGAACCCTCTCCCTGTCGCGGTTTCCCTCAAAAGAGCATCATTCGCTTTTTCTGCGAGCCTGGCTACACTCTACCCAAAAGCCACCATAGGTCAAAGTGTGAGCATGGGAAATGGCATCCCAAAGTGCCCGTCTGCATGCCCCGACCAGGTAAGAGAAAAGAAGAAATGTTTATGCACTTGAAAACTTGACGCAACCACTGCAATTCAGCCATTTACCGTCTTTTGAAGCAAGAGACTGGAAGCAGCGTATGCAGATTTTCCATCTTGCATCAGTTGTCCATTAGATCTGTATTCTGAATGAACAAAAATGTGCTGGAGGAAGGCATTACAAAAGCAGAACCATTAATAAATGACCTAAATAAGCCCCAGGCACCCGGTAGTGAAGGAAACTCCTAAACTAAGGAAGGGAAAAAACCATGATGCTTCATTCAGCCACTCACTTCCTTGTCTGAGCTGAAACGTGTCATGAGAGGAAACCAACAGCTTGAGCAGGAAGTTAGCAAAGACACCAAACTAACCAGTATTATTTTTTTCTGTGATGCACATAAAGCCTTCGGAAACATTTGCATCATAGAATCCAAATCAAAGGATGTTATCCTCACTCAACCACTTCCAGAAACTTGCCTGGCATCCGGCCTTGATTTGTACGTCAGCTTGTTTTCAAGCTCTTTGCAATTGTCTTGAAATGGTTTGTGTGTTTTCTTTTAAACAGAGGGTCATCCTGAACAACCAGAAAAAATAGTCAACTCTATCCCAAGTGTGGCTACGACTGCTATTGGAGTGTCCATCTTCCTTCTCACCACAACGGCTTGTTTGGTCATCAAATCCCGTCTATTCTCCTGTCGAACGCAACGGTATGTAATTTCACTTGTTTTATCGTCCAAAAAAATGCAATGAAATGCACATGATACACAAACTTTCAAAAGTCTGGGGTCAGTAAGATTTTTGTTTTTTAAGAAATCAATACTTTCATTCCTGCAAGGATGCATTAAATTGATCAAAAGTGACAGTAAAGACAAGGTATAAACTCATAATTGTGAGATCTAAACTCATGATTGCAAGAAAATTATTAATTGGTAATTAGCAATTACCTTTTTTTTATTATTCCATGGCATAAACAAGCTTGACTTTTTCCCTTGCATTTACAAATTTCTATCTCACAATTAAGAATTTTCTTAATTGAGTTTATATCTGGTAATTATGCCTTTTTTCTCTCAGAATTAATGAGTTGAATTGTGAAGCTAAAAATGTGCAATTGAAAGAATTTTTATTCCGTGGCAGAAATAAACTTCCATAGAAGACTGGAGTAAAGGCTGCTAAAAATTCAGCTAATAAATTACATTCGGAAATATATTTAAATAGAAAAATTTATTTTAAATTGCAATAATATTTCACAATATTGCTGTTTTCACTGTTTTTTGATTAAAGAAATGCAGCCTTGATGAGCACAAGTGAATTCTTTCAAAAACATACTTCTTACAAAACCAGCCCCAAACGTTTGAACAATGCATATCAACATCACATTAACTGTTGTGTCTTTTTCATCAGGCGTTCCTCGGATCAGTTGGACCTTGTTGTCGATGGCTTACCTGTATCTCTTCCCACATACGAGGAGGCAATCTACAGCAGTTGGGGCCAGCGACTCCCGTCGTTCCGTGGACCCACTCAGCTCCTGCTGACCCAGGACGCATTAGAACACAGTCCGCTGACTTTGCTCATTCGCCCCGATTCCAATCGTTGCACTGACACAGCCAATCATAGCACAGATACTCCACCACCTCCTTACGAAGAGGTCCAATCACGATCCAGAGACACTGAGAATGACAGGGACGAACGGGCTTTGCAAAGCACACTTTCTGTTGATAAAAACAACTAATTACTGGACTTTAATGAACTCACCTTTAGCCTTTTGATTGTTCGTTTCCTTGCACAGTTTGGTTTTCCTAGGTAATGTGCTGCAATATTGATTATGTTAATGTTTTCACTGACCAGCTGGAGATGTGGCTACCCTCCGTGAGGGGAAACAAGGTGTTTTAAGGGGACTTTTATGATTAATTAATGACTTTTATTTAATGATGTAGGTATAGCAGCCATTTCCGTAAGAATGATATGCTGTGTAGTTACATTTTCAGGGTTATGATTTAAGATTAGCATGGAAATAATATGATTTCACCTCATTCAGTGTTTCTCAGAGCATTTAGATTGACTGAATGTAAGAAGCAGATTGAGATTGTGCCTGTTGACTGATGGATGTAGTATATTTTATTTAATTTTAATTCCTTCCAACTGAACAGATCTATTGTTAAATATTGCATTAACATATAGAACAGGGGAACAGACTTTAAGTATGCTTGCTGAATGTTTGAACAAATATATTGTATTTGTTTTTTGTTTGGCATTTTATGATATGTAACATTTACATCTTGTACATAATTCTGCACAATTAGTGTTTGTAAAAGTAATAATAATACACTTTATGAACTGAATGTTTGCTATTAAAAATTATTTTAAATCTTTTTAGGGTTTGTGAGTGGTGTTTCACACATATATTAAGATATATTCTGAGGTTAATACTCGCTAAAACTAACATTTTCAGTGGTTTACGTGTAAAGTTGTGGTCAACAACAGCGGACTAATGAGCTCTAATAGTGTCAAGCTTGTTAGCAGTTGTTTTCTGTCTAGTTTGAGCAGACAGATCAATGGTTGATTAAAAGTCATGACCCATAAGAGGATATCGTGAGGAATTTGTTATATAGAAACAAAGTAACAGCAAGATGCCTACACACTTATATTTGACCTACATAAAGCCTCTGTGAATTAACTTGATATCATGTAATGCTAAACTGGTTTCCTGATTCTGCACTAAAAGATGGCATATCTTCAGATGAGTTAAAAATAGCAAAACCAGCTAGCTAGCTGGTTCAATTATTACAATATGGAGCAACCTGAGGTAAAACTTATTCTTGCCCACTTGGCTACTTTTGTACTCTGATAAGAAAAATGTTTTACCTTGTAGAGACCGGCAGCAGGCCGGTCCGCATCTTGAGGTCAAAAGCAGTACTGCACACACGTGCTAGGAAAACAACGAGTGTTTTTGTGTTTATTAATCATCTTCATTAGAGATTGTTGGAATATAATGGGCTCTTTACTACATAAGCAAAATAACACCGCAATCTTTTACGTATTAACCACACGGTTTATACCAGTTTTGCCGTTGAAAAGTTCTGCATGGAAAGCATGATTATTGATGTCTATTAATATAGTTAATAATTACGAATTAGACATATTAGACGGTTGTCCGTGGTGATTGATACAAAACATCGCACTATGCTTTTTAATTTATGTACAAATATGATAGACGGGCATATGTCGGTTGCACAGCAACTCGCTAGTGCGTTTTTAAAACGCTGCGGAAGCTTTCGTTTAAAAAAAGTTTTAGAGACCTTTAAACTAAACTAAACTAAACCAAAAAACAGTGAGAGAGAGATCCTACATTCCCCCAGGTGCTGAGTTTTATGTTTTTGAACGCATGAACACGTGTGAACGGTCCCTTACAAACAATAATGTCCATATATTTAGACAGATATTATTCAATTAATATTGTGTATCAAAACGTGAAAAAAACAAAATCAAGGAAAGCTTTTAAAAGTTTTTAAGTCGGTATGTTTAAGAAAAAGCACACAACACTTGTGTATTGCATTTAAAATGTTTTATTTCTTTACCAGTCAATACAAGGTATAAGTACATTGGAAATAAATGATGCAAAAATACACAAGGTAATATAAAAAATAAAAAAAATTAAATAAAAAATACAGTCTAAGATATCTGAAGAGCTTTTATCCATATGAGAAAGGCATGTGTCTTATCGGACACTATTTGAATAAGGCCCCTTGAGTCACGTCTGTACTAGCTACAGAAATCAAGGGAATATATCTGATTCACAGTCAACTGAAAAAAAGCACCACACCTAATCCTGTATGCCACAATTTAAAAAAACTGCCTCTGCTGCATAAAAGATAGTCTAGAAACATCAACAAACGACAAAACTAAAGGCGATCGCTTGCTGCAACCACTTTCATCCAACTGATTAGCACATTTGTCGTGTTAGCATCTCAATCTTAGGATTCAAAAAGACATCAGACAAGGTTTTCAGTCAATACGACTGCAGCGTCAACACCATAGCCTCTTTGAAAACCATTACAGATCATTCAACATACTGGAAGTGACACAGGGTTGTAATTAAACACCAAAGACACATAAGTATAGATTGACTTACAAGCTGTAATTGCAAAAGTATATAAAATGCTTTATAAAAAGATGATCACCAATAGATTATTTGTTGCGTTTGTCAGCTATGGCCTCAGTGAATAATCTATGAACTCAAAAGCATGATCACATCCACTCAAAGTCAGCCCTTAAACTGCTCTAACCCATGATTCTAGACAGAACCGCTGTAAGAAATCCTCTCGTCAAGCTTCTTTCAGATAAACTTACAGTCAAGTGAGGTTATGCTTGAAGTTGATATTATAGGTTTAGATTAAGGCTACAAGTGGTAGAACAGCATGTTAACACTATTTCTAACATATCCTGACCAGTTTATCTTCGATTTCAAACACCCTTTGGCCACATTTGTGCTTTGGACGAACTCGGACTGAACGGCAGAAAACAAGGGGAGATCAGAGCACCATTATTTTTTTTTAGAAATGTCTGCTGAGAACTCATTACCAATCACTATATTATACTAATTCTACTAACTAAAGTCTATTTTGACTACTCTTGGTTATAGTATTTGGGCAAAAACAAATTAAAATAATAATAATAAAAATATTTGACATATAATGGACAGAGTGTTTAGGCCAATTGTCCTTCCTGTGTTTTGTGCGTAAAAGGTCACTCTCTGAAATACGTTATGTTGATACATGCGGAGCGTGGAAAGGGTTTTCATAACCCTCTTTGATAACGGTCACTGTAATTGCTGATGACTCGTCCACATTGTTTTCTCTTCAAGTAAGGGAGGGCATTGTTTCAGCAACAGGCCTCATCAAGTCAGGCGGGCGCGACAGGAAGGTGTCCCTCATGAGAGCTGTTAATGATAAAATTAAGATTCATTTATAAAAGCTTACTCGTTAACTTTTATTCAACAGGACAGGACTGTTTAAAATAAGTAGTGTACTTGCTGTGTCACACAACGCTTGGGCTCCACCCAGCAACGGGTCCCTGTCGGTCAAGAGCTGACTTCGCTTTTGAGGTGGCGGTTCAAATTCTTCCGAACCATCGTCGAATAAGGTATTCTGAAAAAACAAAAAAGAAATCACATATCATCTATACCAAGTATTTTTGTGTGAATAAAGTTTAAAAAGTGGAGGTCCAAAAATAACAGATCATTTGTCTTTACCAGTAATGTGTGGCTGAGCAGAAGCTGTTCCTCTATGGAGCCGCTCTTCGGTTTCTTCTCCCATTTGGCAGCCAGAATGGGAATGTCATCTTCCTCCTCATCTTCCAAACCTCTATTGTGGAGAAAGACATAAAATATGTGTATTATACACTACCGTTCAAAAGTCTGGGGTCAGCAAGATTTATTTATTTTTTTGACAGAAACACTTTTATTCAGCAAGGATACATTACATTGATCAAAAATGACAGTAAGCACATTTATAATATAAGATTTCTATTTCAAATAAATGGTGTTCATTTGAACTGGCTATTTATTAAAAAAGCATGAAAAAAAATGTATCATGGTTTTCACAAAAATAATAAGCAGCACAACTGTTTTCAACTTTGATGATTATAATAAAAAGTTACTTAAGCAGCAAATCAGCATATTAGAAAGACTTCTGAAGGATCATGTGACACTGAAGACTGGAGTAATGACTTAAAAATGTAGCTTTGTCAGCACAGGAATAAATTACATTTCAAAATATATTCAAAGAGAAAACAGGTATTTTAGAGTGTAATAATATTTCACAATATTACTTAGGGCTGCACAATTAATCGAATTTCTAATCGTGATTACAATTACGGATGCCACAATTACATAATCGTTCAAAGTCCACTTATGTTATTCTGCGTGCTTAAGATGTTTTTTTTTTCTTTCTTCAGGTTATCTTAAGGGTTTTTCCATTGTTTTAATTTTAGTATAACATTATAATACCATGCATTTTTTTTAATTTTTTTTTATTTAAAGAAGAAACCAATCTAATGTAGAGTTGACATTTGAGGCTTAATACTATAGAAAAGCAATAAAAGTTTTTCAGTTAATTAATAATCGCAAAAACAATTTTAAGGGCACAATCGACAATTATGATTTTTGTCATAATCGTGCAGCCCTAATATTACTGTATTTTTCATTAAATAAATTCAGCCTCAGTGAGCATAAGAGACTTCCTTTACAACATTAAAAAGATCTTACCAGTCCCAAACATTTGAACGATAGTGCATGTTACCATATTTGAAACAATCAAGTCATCTTGAAGAAACAAAATATGCTGAAATCATCATTATGACTCTTACCGTTTCCTTGAAGTGTTGGTCAGCATATCTGAAGGTGCAGCCGTTTCACTCTGGGGCAGGAAGGTCAACTGGAAGTCATCATCCATGGAGATATATGGAGCCAACATGTCCAAATCAAGCTCATCCATAGCCTGTCAAAGAACACCCATGACTTATCTTCTGAGATGTTTTAGACATGTTTGAAAGAGATCTTAAAACCACTTTGAGAACTACCTCTGACTGTCCTTTCAGAGTTATGCTCTCCTCCGGTTTGAGGGCGAAGAACTTCTCCACCCCTTCCGTCTCCATGGGCAGCTCTTCAGCGGGGCTCTGAAACAGACCCTTAAACGTCAGATAAACCATTCAAACCATCAAAAATACCCAGACAAACGAACAAAAACTCTCATACACACCGCAACGGGTGGAGATTTGGTGGGCCTGTCGAATATTGGAGAGAGGAGCTTGCGGAGTTCAGGCGTACAGAGGTCCTGAGGGCTTTCTGGGAGAATGTTGGGACTCGGTGGACAGCAGAAGGACAACTCCACACACTCTGTGAATAATATAAAGCACTATTAGGATGACATTACATTTGTGTAAGAATACACAACCAAATCGATTTTAGAGGACCAACAGCAAACATTCCCATTCTGTAGAAAAGCATGATTGTGAGCACCTGTTAGGGAAATGATAGTGTCTCCAGAGTGAGGTGCCAGCTGCAGTAACTCTTCTGGGTTCTCCTTCATCTGGAGGAAGAGCTTCGCAGTGTTGCTCTCCTCCTCCATGTCGGAGTCCTTCTCCTCCTCCAGCACGCTCAGCTTCTCAGCTCTGGGCTTTGGTTTCTCACAGGTCTGTTCTAGTGAGAACACAACATCTGCCTCTTCCACACCACTGCCAGAGAGAGAGAGAGAAACATCATTCACACCAGGGTTATTTTTGTTAATTGAAATTGAAACCATTTGTTGTGTAGGATATGAAAATTAGAAATGTTCCCTTTGTGACTAATTGAAATAAAATAAATTTAAACTAGAAAAATAAAAATTATACAGACATAAAAAAGCTTAAAAAAAAGACAACAAAATTAATAAAACGTAAAATAAACAAAATACCATTCAAAATATTAATGTAAACTATAATAGTATATTAAATTATACTAAAATACTAGAAACAGATATTACACCAAGTCTGATTGAGGTACCTGAGGATAAAGTTGAGGCAGACCACAGCCTCGGGTTGAGAGGTCCTGCTGTTGTAGAGGACAGTGGCTTGAGTCTCAGTCCAGACAAATCCTCCATTCTTAGCCAGAAAGCGGTAATGGCTGGTGCACACCTGGCCCTTGGAGAACACTGCAAGTAAGGAAAAGATAAGGAAGAGTTTAGCAGTTGGTCTTTTCTTCATTCTATAAAGAAAACATCAGAACACAACATCATCGTTGACACGGTCACAGAATTTTCAACAAATTAAGTTGATCACTGCGTGGGGTTATGGTTAATACTACTAAATGTATTGTGAAAAACTACGTTTGATTATGTCACGGAAATTAATGAAGACAAACTTAAACTTACAGATGTGTAAACTCCTGGTCACGTGATCAAAATCAAGGGTGTGATAAAACTCATAGGCAGACCGGCCAATCAGATCTTCGGGTTGGTATCCAACAAGCTCAGTGACTCTGTAAACACAAAGCAGTCAATCAATATATCAAGTCTCATAATTTTATTGCATATTTAAATACAATTTATTATAGTGATGCACCAAAATATTATTTTGACCAAAACCAAAACAAGAGTTTTCATTTAGCCAAAAACGGAAACCAAAAATAAAGTGTGGTTAAATTTGGGTAACTACACTGCTCTGCTGTTCAGGGTGTTGTGTCATCCCAAGTTAAACCAGTCTCCTTTGAATATTTTAGTTGAACCAATTTTATATATTGCTACTCTTGCATCACTTTATCACAAAATTTGGGGGCATTATTAATTCTTTCCACAATTGTTATTGCACAAGAGTATCCTTACACGGCGATGTCACATGAACAACTAATCTGCAATTTGTCAATGCTGGCAAATGACCATGGTATAAGCGGGCTAATGCATGGCTAGCTGTGCATTAAACAATTTTAATGTGCTTCGTGTCGGATGGTTCTTGACTTCCACGCCGTGCATTAAAATAGTTTAATGCACAGCTAGATGTGCATTAACCCTTCCTTAAACTGCAGTAAGTTCAGTAAGTGAGTCAGAATTTGATTCAGCAATTGTCCTGACTGATTCAGTGAGGATTCATCACTGATTCAAATAGGTAATTAGCAGTTTTCTTGTGCGAGTCTTTCAGGAGCCGGTTCTTTTAATGAATCATTCAAAGAGTCACTTGTTTGCGAGTTGGACTACACTGGTCTTGAAGCTTGTGAGGACAATTCAGCAATAACAACAAAAACAACAGTCATGCCATTATTTTGGACTGCAAACTCACATTCATAGCTCAAGAAAGCATCATTTCTTTTGCCATGGGGCTGAAGGTTCAACAGCAGTGAAGGAAACACTATATTTAGTTCATATGAATTTGCATCAATTTAAAAAGCCGTTTATGGAAATCTCCAGCATAAAATGTGATTGTTGTATCTAATCCCAACACTGAGATACTATAAATATACTGTGCCCTAAGTGCATGCCGAGAGAAAAACACTGGAAACCTGAGTCACATGCTTTCTCACACCATGAATGAAATCTGTCTTCAGCTGTCACACGTACGCATTTTAAAAACATCCAGTGAGAATAAAGCGTCCGCATCTACAAGGCTCATTTAGGTTTGCAGATAGAGTGAGAAATGTTAAGATTCATTTTTACATGTGTGGGTACACTTAACCATGAGAAGGAAGGCAAATTTGATTTTGAACACTGTATATCGCCGCTTCACAGAGGTGAACTGAGTGCACTCCTACACAGAGAAACTCAGCTGACCCGCTGTTATCAGGCACTGCGCTGTCATGAGATTTATTTTAACTTTTACGACCTCTGAGTGTGTGCTGTGTACTTCCGAGAGAGTATGCATGAGCATGTATTATTGCATTTAAATACATCTTACCGTCCGTCACATTGTGTGAAAGTCAGGTCCATGTTATGGCGTGTGAGGAAGGTGCTGCTGTCTAGTGGGAATTCAACGCTGGAGGGGTGAGGAATGGGTTCGCACAGCAAAGTCAGGAAGCTGCCAGCAGGGGGCGAGTTCTCATCATCGCCGCTGAACGTCTGCATGTGTCCTGTGCAATGAAGGACCTGGGAGAAGAAATTGAAAAATGACTGTTTGTACATGTCTCAATAAAATACAGATGACCAAGATGAAAACACAACACTGTGTAATATGACGTGCGAAACAAGCGGTCAGGCTGGACCAGTGCCTCCTGTCTTGGCACTGAATGTAGTTGGGTCTCTGCCTTCAGTGTATCTCTGCCTTCAGTGTATTTGTGTCCTGTTTTATGCACTCATGGGACTTGACCCCATAGCTCAACAAAGAGCCGGACTGATGTGAAGCGGTAATGATGATACAGTCCTGCATACCCCTCAGAGCAATCTACACCCGATAAAGATGAGCTAACAGGTGCTGCGTGTGAAAATAGCTAAAGGAAGTTCAACACCAGTATTGATTAAACCTTGTCGCCATTAAATGTTTCTAAAAACAAAACTAAAAAGCAGTGCACGTTGACATGCTGTACAATGTCACTTCTGTGAGTTTGAATGCGGCTTGGATTGTTTATGCACACTTTCTTCCTATAGTTTCCTGTCTAAAACATTCAATAGTCCAAACATAAAATAATAAGCTATTTTTACATAATATACACAGCTTGTGTACCTTCCAGGTTGCAGACTTGATATTAACTGTTCTTCCTGTGTGGGTGAGTGTGCTCTTCATCCGAAGGAAAAAATTATGTTTGGTCAACATCTCTGTCTTTTTCTTTGAAACACCTGAGGATGAAAAAAAACATTCTCCTTGTCAGTACACACAGAATATTAGACTTCAAAAAACTCAATACACAGTAGGTCACTGCATAGCAGCTAAAATTCAGTGAAAAGAAATCTTTTATTACCAGGTCTTGTGGCGAGGATGTCTCGCAATTCTTCTTGGTCACAGGGATGAACAAACTCATACACGCTCTGTCCAAGCAGCTCCAGCTGTACAACACCACATCAGAAAAAAAAAAAAGCAATTTAAGATAACTTCAAAACAATACAATGACACTAAAGACAGTATTAAAGAAAAAAGTCATTTATTTATTTAGCACATGAATTTATACAAAGTATGTCATACATGTAAACAACTTTTCTGCATTTAAAAAAAAAAAATTCCCCACCATTTACTGCATACTTAAAAACACTTTTTGGAACATGCATTGGACTGACTCACAGGAATAAAATCACCACATTTATGAAAAATGCAATTCAAAGAGTGAATGAGGGTCATGTGTATGAGATTTCATGCCTTTCCCATCAAATCGCCCACTATCATCCTTTAAATGCCTTTACTGTAACATAATTACGTTTTAATGGTCTAAATTATTTTAAAAGATTATTTTTATAATAACTTATAATATAACATTGCATAAATATGCACACACACACACACACACATATATATATCCTCAGTGTCATATCTGTTGGATTTCAGTACTTATTTCTTTTATTATTGCATTACTCAATACTAACCTAAATAAAACATTGTAACTCCCTCCTTTCAGATTATAGCACAACAACACATTAGACTGAATGTGTTCCCTCAGGAACAGAAAGGGTTTTAGTCACACACGTGACTTTTTTATGAACACTGTGCCTCATACCACAGCAGAGGAATCCAAAGTGACACTATTCCTGGGCCGCGTGCTGCTAGACTGCAGCCAACTTGTTTGAAATTCTCAACTTTGTGAAATTCACACTGTGCTGGTTTCAAGTAGCTCTTCAATATGGGGCAGGACTTACCTGTGTCATGCCGATGTATTTGCTGACACTCTCTGAGAGGAAGACCATGTCCCTGCATAAATATCTTTTAAATGTCAGTGGTTTCATGCATCTGGCAGCCAGTAATTGCCTGCACAAACATACTGTGGTCAGCACAAACCAGGTTTATTCTAGTTGAATGTTAACCCAAGTTTAATGCACTCTGGCCTGTATTTTCTTTTCTCTTGTGCAATATTGCAAGATGGATTTGCTCCAAAATACTGCAAACATCCCTCAACCTAACTATGCATGATCTTATTTAGTTGCACTTATTAATGGCATATAACATTGTGTTTTCTGCCTGCTGTCCACAACCCTATTAACACAGACCTGTGACCCATTTCAGGTCTCAACCAACTGCTAGACATCATACAGCTCGATTTCAGCAGAACCCACCTGATTGGATCAATCGGTTCATGCGCAGATAGCTGAGTGTCACCCTCATGATGGCAGCTTTGTCCAGGTGGGAGGCGATACGTCGTGGAAAGGGTAGTGAGTGGGCCAGTTCGTAAAACACCTCAGTCTCCTGACTCCTCCTACAGCGCGCTGCGTCACGTGAACGCACCTTCCGCTGCTCCAAACTGGGCCTAAATAAGGCAAAACAAGAAAAACAAACTTATTTAAATGACCAAACTCAGAATATCTAACCCTTAAACAGAAAGCCAAAGAAGAAAATCAAGTTTTTACAATGTCATTTCTTAGCATGAAGCTTTTTAAATTTGTAGTTTCCACCGTTTTTCTTTCCACAATTGGTCTTCATCCAAAAAGACAACAACAACAGAAAAAACATTCTGTTCTCTCCATCTCTTACATCTTGTTCTTTGTTTCTCCTCAATAAAACTGTCCCAGCTGTAATTGGTGAGCTCTGGTGCTCTGTGTATCCTAGTCTTGCCAGAGAGTGGGCCTAGGGCTGGACGATATGGCCAAAATTTATATCACGATATATTTCTTAATTTCGCTCGATACGATATAATTCCGATATCGATATGAACACTATTTAAAAAAGCCTTGTAAAAACTGCCAAGAACGCCCACAACAGATGTCTGTGCATACAAACTTATGAAAAATGAATTTGCCAAGTCTATGACACCTCATATAAAACCATATAATACTTTACAGAAAAAAAACAGCAGAAATAAATTAATGTTCACCTTTTATTTGTATTTAGCCTTCATACAAACAAGAAATGTGAAATCACTGTCAAATAAACATCTCAGACTCACCTTATTAATTATTAATATCTTCCAACATACCAGTCAAAAGTTTTTGAACAGTAAGATTTTTATTGTTTTTATGTGTTTTGGTTGGCCCCGCTGGATGCGACAAAAATTAAATATTAACATTAGTAAATATTAGCCAAAGAAGTATTTGAACATACTCATATATAAGATGTACACATTATCATTCAAAAGTTTGGGGTCAGTAAGATTTTTTCCCCTAAAGCAATTAAAACTTTCATTCGGCAAGCATGCATTAAATTGATCAAAAGTGACAGTAAAGACACTTTTAATTTATAAATTATAAAAGAGCATTAGAGATAAAAAAAAAACAAAAACAAAAACAAAAAAATAAGCTGCAGAAAAAAAAAGAGCAACAACAAAAACATGCTGCTAGAGACGGGCTTATTTAAAATGCAAACTGATTGTCTGCCAGCAGGAGGTGCTGTGAGAGCGGTAGAACTAGCGGTTTCTCCGGTATCGACTGTAATCAAAGCAGCTCCGCTCATTAACGCTACTTTATCAGATAAAATGAAAATGTCATCGAAACTTTTCTGAAGACAGTCGGTTCCCTTCAGAGATACATTCATATAAAACACCCGCGCCGTGTTATGATTTTGAAACGTGCAGTGCTCATGTTTATTCAACGAAGTCAAACGCCACAAATAAATCAATGCATGGGAAACACTGGTAATATATATCGAAATATCGGAAATGTGTTTAAAAATCATATCACCGTTATTGAAAAGAATTATATCGCGATACATATTGATATTGAATTATTGTCCAGCCCTAAGTGGGCCCCAGATAAACTTTTCCTTCACTCTGCGCCTTTCACTCACGCTCCCCTCCTCCACTGGCCTTATGTAGACAAGCCTGTCCCATGGCCCTCCCCCATGCTTCCTATCTGACAGAGTCCCCCCCAGCTCTGTCTCTGACCTCCTTTGTGCTTTGAACAGGACTGAACTCTGCCGACACTGACATTCCAAAATGGCCCATCAAACAGTTGCCAAACTCTCAGTATATACTTTTTTTTTGGCACAGTCAGACAATTCCTTCAGATATACAGTGCTGGAATTACATTTCTGCTAGCAGAACATAATTAGCATTTACTGCAGATACATTTCTTCTTTCATGAATCTTTGATTAATAGAAAGTTCAAAAGAACAGCATTTATTTGTAATAGAAATCTTTTGTAACAATATAAATGTCTAAACTGTCACTTATGATCAATTTAATGCACCCACGCTGAATAAAATAATTACTTTCTTTCAAAAATAACCCAAAACTTTAATAAGGTTTTTTTTTTTTTTTTTTGCACAGTCAAACATTTCCTTCAGATATACAGTGCTGGATTAACTTTTCTACTGTCAGAACATAATTAGCTCTCTTATCGACATTGATTTATTGTGTTATTGTATTTCATGGTGCAGTAAACAGGACAGATATGCCGCACAGCGTGTCTGCACAAGCTGGGCTCCAGCCACACGGTTTCACTTGGCACGTAGTCTGTGGTCAGTCAAGTCAGGCTCTGTACACTTTGTTAAAGAAAAACATTCCCATCCCAAATCATGCTTGAATGACATGTAGTGTACTAAAAAAAAAAAAATAAAAATCACACAGGAATAAGTCTGTATAAAAACTTGCACAGCCAGAATAAACATAAACAGTCATGTATCGCTGGCCTGGATCAAAACCTGTATTTGTAAGCACATGACTAATTTAACAACGGGGCATAAAAGTAACTGTATGAAGATAACGATGCTGGTTTGTGAAAATGGAGCATTAAAGAACAGATCCAGTGATTTGGTCAGTCATAATAACGCCATTTCACAGAAATATGAAATATTACGCTAACATAAAACTAATTAGTAAACATCCAAATGAAGGGTAAAGTCCTAAAACAGAACAATCAATGGAAATCTGCCAAAGCTAACATAGTTTTATACATCTATAACAAACTTTACAAGCTGTCAATATTTTGCAGGTCTTTATTTTACACACAAAACAGGATTCAGATGTTGATCCTTGTACAATCAGTCAATGCATGTTTTAGGTCAGAACAAAAAACTAAATGTCTGAGACAAGCTGAAGCAAGACCCAGCATCCAATTTCAAGCTGCAGACGACCACATCAGATTACACAATAATCTCAGAAGAGATTAAAGAGTCTCAGACGGTGGTCACTCCTGGAGAAACTCGTACAGAATGACCATTACTGAAACCTACCATCTAAAAATAACACACACAGAAAGAGCACATATGACAAATCCATATGAGATGAGCCTATTCTTGACAATAGAATGACAGGTTTTTCGACTATCTGAATGTTGAGTGCAAATACATTTAATCTTCAGCAAATCTCATAATGAATATTTATTTTTCATATATTTGTACATTATAATGTTGTGATGGCTACATTTACTAGCAGCATTTAAAATGACAGATTTTTATTTTTATTAGGGTTTTATTTTTTATTTGGACAAACAATACTGAATGTAATAAATAAATATTAATAAATATTTTACATAATATATTTATATATTAAAAAACCTAGTTAAACACATCCATGTACACTACAATTCAAATTTTGGGGTCGGTAAGATTACTCCAATCTTCAGTGTCTCATGATCCTTCAGAAATCATTTTAATATGCTGATTTGGTGCTCAAGAAATTTATAATCAATATTGAATGTTTTGCTGCTTAATATCTTTGAGGAAGTCATGATACATTTTCATCAAGATTCTTTGATGATCAGAAAGTTCAAAACAATATTTATTTGAAATAGAAATCTTTTGTAACATTGCACATGTTTTTACTGTCATTTTTGACCAATTTAGTGCATACGTGCCGAATAGAAAAGTATTTGTTTTTTGCAAAACTGACCCCAGAGTTTTGAATGATAGTGTAACGAAGTAAACATGACATCTTAATGACTTCAAAAGCAGTGCACGCAGTCTCGTGCCAAAGCTGCTGTAAATCAATGCAGGAACACTGTGTCCTTCAGCTACGTCACAACAGTCACACCCAACCCTTGTGCTGTTTGTATGGTTAGGGATTTACTGTGAGTGTTATTATGTATTCTGGTAAAATGTCAACACCCCATATCAGTGTAGGTGGAACTGGAAGTGCAATACAACCCATCCCAGCCTGTTCAAACAAACTCCTCTGAACCTCATGGGATAAAGATGAGATGGGCATGACAGGCTTTAATGGGGAGGAATGTTCATGTCAAATGTTATACCGATTGATATGAAGCCGATGGTACATCATCTTATGAAGCTGTATGACTTGTCATCGAGATTGATGCATGGTGTAAATGGCACCTTATGACTTCACTGACTACTTTACAACACTCAACCTTTCCTTTAAAAGTAAAAAAATACTCCTTGCAAAGCAACAATATCAATGTGTCCATATGTGAAACAGTCTTTGCTTTCTCATATAGGTTGTTTCAGGAACACAATGTTCTCTTTGCAAACTTGTGGTGGATATGCAGTAAATTTGCATCACATTTACTTTTTCGTCAATCGTCAACCCTGTGGTTTTAGTCAAGAGTGTCAGACGAATGCTATGGGATGTTTGTTTTCTATAGGACTGATTCTTTGACTCTTGCGTGCTTCTGAAGCACTGGGACTCCTTCCAACTGCTCTGCTGCTGAGGCACATGCAGTTCCTTTGACTGACTGAGTGAGCAAGCGAGAGAGCGAGGGTGTGTGAGAGGTTCGGCTCATTTGCACGGTGGTGGGAGGGGGAGACAATGGGAGCTCTGCCAAGAGTAAGGTTGAACACAGGCAGTGGTCGCTAGACAGC